CATGGCAGGACATTTCTATCTGTAGTCCGACAACAAAACAGTGCTGGGCACTCTGAGATTCACTTCACATTCGAAACGGCGTCTTCTTATACCGGAAATTCGAATCGGATGATGGGAAGATGTTGCGATGGCAACTGATACTTCCAAGATCCCGGATTCCTGATGTCCTCAAAGAACTACATAAACAGCCCTACAGGAGGTCACTTTGGAATTATGAAGACCTTACAGAGAGTTCGTGAGCGCTTTTACTGGAATAATGCAAAGAATGACGTGCAAAAGTGGTGCCGATCTTGCGATGCCTGTGCAGGTCGGAAAGGAGGACCGAGGACCGAAAAGCCGAGGCAGACTGCAACCTTACAACGTAGGTGCGCCTTTTGAACGTATCGCCTTTGACATCCTGGGACCTCTGCCACGAACTGCTGATGGATGGCAACAAATACATACTCGTTGTCATTGATTACTTCACCAAGTGGCCTGAAGCTTATCCTATTCCTGATCAAGAGGCAGGTAGTCACAGTAGCTGAGGTATGATACAGCACTGGATTTCCAGGTTCGGAGTGCCTCTTCAGTTACATTCCGATCAGGAAAGGAATTTTGCCTCGGCAGTAATCAAAGAACTATGCAAACTACTTGGCATGACAAAACTCAAACGACGCCATTGCATCCCCAGTCGGACGGCATGGTAGAGAGGTTCAATCGAACCATCCTTAATAACCTCTCATTAGTGGTTTCCAGAAACCAACAGGACTGGGACAAGAAATTACCACTCTTTTTACTGGCTTACCGCAGTGCTGTCCACGAGACTACCGGTATTCTCCATCACAGATGCTCTTCGGTCGTGACCTTCGTCTGCCTTGTGATCTATTGTTTGGCCGCCCTCGGGATGCTCCTTCATCGTCTGAGGAATATATTCAAGATCTCCAGGCCCGTTTGAAGTGATGCACAATTTGCACGAGAGCGAGTCAACTTGGGGACGGAGAAGATGAAGACCCGATACGACACAAGAGCTACTGAACATCAATTCCACGAAGGAGACAAGTGTGTGGTTGTGGAATCCGACTCGACGGAAAGGAAAGGACTTTGTCCGAATTACAGTCACCTTGGGATGGGCCGTACACAGTCCTAAACAGGCTGAATGACGCCGTGGTTCGAATTCGTAAGTCTTCGAACTCTAAACCTAAAGTCGTTCATTACGACAGGTTAGCTCATTACTATGGCCATAGTACATAATGTAAATAATTGTAAATAGTATAAGACCATGGTCCATTGTGTTTTTTAAAATGTGTATTTGATTGTATTTGATAGCATTTGATTTGTTTTATGTATTGCATTTATTGTTCATGTTGTTTATTATTGTAATGTAATGCTTATTAATGCATTTATGCCACAATTGTAAGTTTAGCTTCCTGTCCAGGGATTGTACTGCCCGGGACGTGCAGTCATTGGGAAGGGGGCAGTGTTACGAATTTGGTATTTAAAAAGCTAATGTTAGTTCAATTATAAATTAAATGGTTTTATTTCTCGCGCAGTGCAGCGCGTGACGAATATTAAAAGAAAGCTAAGCCGGAAAATTAAAAATACAAGAGCGCGTGCATTAAATAAATAAATATCTCTTTTTGATTTCGAGAAAGTACTGGAAAATTCTAGCGCGTGATTTTAAAATCTTATAAAAGGAGGAAACATCTCAGTTTGTAGTATGCTTAGTTTGTTGTTGTTTAGAAAACTACTGTTGTTGATTGTAGCGAATTCGCGGATTAGCGTTCTTTAGCTGTTTTGAATTACGTTCTATTGGACATTTGAGTAGTTAAAAAAAACTGCTGTGAGATATTGTAGTACTGCGTGATAATTTGAGAAAATTTAAGCATTTTTGTTGTGATAATAATAAATTTTTGTTCATTTTTTTTATCGGACTTGTGCATTCATTTCATAACGAACCCGTACGCACGCAACAATATGTAGAGATTTTCTGATCTCGTGCTGAAACATAAAATTTTGTGGCTTCAAACGTAGGTCATATACGAAATTTAGAGCTGCATTCTTTATCCTAGTTCGAACATAGTATCGCATAACATTGTCTTTTGATTGCATAACATCGTCTATTTTGCTATTAAATTTACTTCATAAGTTTATTAAAAATAAAATTCTATTTAAGATCTGTAAATGGCCATAAATACCTTGGCTAATATTTATTCTGTATCTTGATAAAATATTTTGTAAATTAATAAATAATAAATGATTTCCTAATTTTATGCGCTCGAATACTTGGTACATTTTTATTCTTTAAATTTCTTCTTATCTGAAACAAAAACATCTGATGTAATACTCCTTTGTTTAAAAACTCTCGCTGAAATGTAATGTCAAATGCGTTAAATTTACGTATCCGGGGCAACATAATTCGTTTGTAGTGCTAAAAAAGTTAATGCATCATTGAACCATACAGCGCGGTGTCACAGATTAAGCAAAGAATGTATAAGATATTTCTCTCGCTTTCATAGCATGCCTTCGTGGTGTATTGCTCAGCACGCTCCACGCGTATTCGAAAGGTCCGTGGTTCGAGTTCCGGAGAGGGCATTGCTCATTTTTAACGTCTTCTGCTTCTAAAATATCCTAATGTTTCTACAAATGTCTGAATAACAAAATCTGGATTTCTATAAATCTTTATATTTTGCGTAGAAACTCTAATTTTAGTCGTAAATTTTTAAAATTATTTTAACTGTATTTAGTGTTTTATATTTTTCAATTTTTAATAGAAATATTTTGAGAGTTTATATAATTTTACCTTGTCGCGAAGTGAGAATTGAATTAATTGAAAGAGAAATATATCTCTAATTGAATTCGAGGAAATAAGTTTAAATGAAATGCAGGAAAATTACATATAATTAGATATTCCGTACGAAGAAATCATGTGGTGACCACATCAGACTTTTTAATTGTGTTTCTTGAGTTATACTTTATTGTATTGCACTTATTGCTGAAAACATGTATGCATTTTTAAAAAATATTACTGGTTTAAAGAAGATATTAAATAATTTTATTCTATTTTTCTCTTATATTTGTGCGATTTTTCCCTCGCTGTTACATAATAAAATTTTTTCTCAATAAACAATAATTTATCAGTTTTATTAATTATTTTTGGTAATCAATGGAATCTTGATTATGCAAATCAACTGACATAGCATATTCGGCTATCTATACCCAATCGCCCTCTTGATCGTCATTAACTTCCTTTAAAATTTTATCGACCCAAGAGGCTCAAAGCAGAATCTGTTGGGGGCATTCGTCTAAAGCGCAAACGTTTTCCTGGAAGGTGTTTCGCCGTGCTTGGTCGATCGGCTGGACAGTAATCAGCACCTCTTGAGATTTTAATTCAGACAGTATTCTCTTCGCTTCAGTGTGTGTTTTTTTTATAAACTTAAATATGTCGCGTCAGTTACTGTCATTTAGTTTGAAATGCAAAAGCTTCTTTATCAATGTTGTGAAATCATGCTATCATGATATAACACTAATGGCAAATGGAAAAAAAACTTGCATTCATATAACACTGACGTGGAAGTAAATTCATGAAAACTATATGATGTTTCTCGGCAACCCTGTGAGGAAATCACGGCGCAGGCTTGGGAACCACTGGATTAAGGCTTTAAAAAAATTGAAATGTTTCAGGTTTTAAATTACGTCCAAAGGGGCGTTTTTTAACACTTTGTGTGTTGCCTTTATTTATTAAATACAATGTTTTTCGCACTTAAACCATAAAATTCAGTTCAAGAGGAATATCGCAAAATAATTTTAAATTGAGCATATCTTTAGAATTTCCGATTCACAGTTCTCGCGCTTTGGAAGATAAAACTGTTTTTTTCCCCCACCCCCCAACCGTAGATTGCTGCCATTGCTCGCTTTTAAATCTTTGAGTTTGTTAATCGAAAATTCGTCAAAGTTTTACAAACTATGAAATCAATAATAAAACAAATTCCAAATTTCAAATTTGGGCTTCCAGATGCTCATATCCGTAGGAGGATTACGTCATTCAAACTTCGATGGCTCTAGGTACCGTTGTTTTATCACAATACGAGAAACATGCATACATTTATGCAGATTCTTCATTATTTAATTTCTTCAAATATAATACAGGGCGATGATAATTGTTGGCAACAGTTTGAAAAGTGAAACGGACATTCAGAGTGATTACACGAAAAATCACAAAACGAAAACAATAGTCTTTCAGGAACAAAGCCCCTTTAGACTAAAAAAAAAACTTAATTTCTTAGGAAAAAAATACATGTATCATTATCGCCTTTTTTTAATTATTAATACATTTTGTGTCTTTTTATAATACAATTTCAAGAGTTCTGAAATAATAAGGAATAAGGTGTGATACAACATGACAAAAGCAACAATTTTCGTACTACAGTTTGGGGTGGAATATGAGATATGAACACGAAACACGGTAAATACGAAAAATTTTAATCACGGATATTTACAAAAATATATTTAATATTTACAAGAATTGTTCTATGGATGACCACCAGTTGCAATACATGCATCACAACGATAACAGTTCTCATTTATAAGACGCAGACTGACTTTCCTGAAGACCCTGTAGCCAAAATTAGCATCTTTGCTGTAAAAGTACTGGCATCTTCCAAAATGTATGCCAGTCACTACATCATTGTTGTGACGCACGTTTTGCAGTTTGCAGTCGTCTATTTGAACAATTCTTGTAAATATCAAACATTCTATTTTGCAATTTTATTTACTAAAACGATTTTTCGTTCTGCATATTTTTCGTACTTCCTGTATTCCCGCGTTCATATTTTACATTCCAACCCCCCCCCAACTGTGTTAGACAAACTGTTATTTTTGCTATATTGTATCTTTCCTTCAAGCTGTCACCATCATTTCTGTTGCATCCGTATACGATTTGAATTCAGATGAGTTTTAATTCTAATCAGGAACTGCAATGAATGTCAGTCACAGCCTTTCTCACTCTTCCATGCATTTTATAGCTTTCTGGCTGGCAGATGCAACTTAATAACAACGTCAGATATCAAGGGACTGAATGACTTCACGACTTATTTTACGCTTCCACCCCTCATTTTCTTGAACTTGGTTACCATCAACTTCCAGCATGTCAACTGGCTGTTTGTCCTTGGGATTCTGCTGGGCAAAATTATCGTATTCGTTCTGGTGGCAACAGTCACAGCTTCTGTGCACCGGCCAATCAACCTATCTTATGCCGGACTTTATGGAATATTCTGCACTCAAGGGAACGACTTCGGACTTGCTTATCCAATAGGTAAGTATGCTAAAAATGACCACCATAAAATACGAAAGTTAACCTTTGTCAGATAAGAGACATCTTAATTAATTGTATCGAATAAGAAAGAAAGCAATGAAGACGTGCTTTTAGAAAACCAGGTTTCATACGGCAATAATGCTCCTGAAAAATTCAAGTTACACGAAAAGCGAAATCATGTTACACGGAACTAAAATATTTTGCAAAATTTAGCGTTAACTTCCTACACCAATAATAGTAATTTCGCTTTTCTAAAAAATATGCTATATCATTTAAGTAAAATCATTGTTCAAAAGCACTCTACAATGATCCTTTTCATCACTGCTAGTCAAAATTAAATAAATGAGAGCTCTTCCTCTGCTGAGTCAATATGTTTTCTTTGAAGCAGGAGAAGTGAAAAATGTACGATGCCCTCGCCGGGACTCGAACCCTGGACCTCTCGAATACGCGTCGAGTATGGTTCCAATGACAACACGAAAGAACGCGGAGAGGCAGAAAAAATAACTTATTGCTAAACAGCTTCATAATTTCAAACATCTAAATTTTCCTTTAAAAGTACGTTTCATACAAGGTATCCACAAAAGTCTGTACACGGCCTTTATTTTCGCAACCGTTAGCCATAGACGTATACTTCCAGTTACGAAAATGCTTTCAGGAATTCATTAGATTCACAACCAAGGTTTTCTAAATCCTAGTATAACAATTGCCTGGTTTAATAAGTTTTAGTTGAAAACAGGAAGGATACCGAAACATCTTTGATGGTTTATAAAATGCTAGAATAAACTTCCTCAAATCTCTAACCTTGTTACATTGGAACTTGTTTGGTTGAATACCACTTTAGATAAGAGATACCTGTTATATGATATTTTGTCACAAATATTAAAACCTACCAGTCTTTCAAACTTTTTCTGTGGACTTAATTATTATAATCACTAGTCCAACTAAAACTAATCTTATGGTATTTGCTCTTTTATTTTACAGTCGCTTCCCTTTATGGCAGTAAACGTCCGCTATACGCAGGCTACATGTATCTCATCGCTCCCACTTCGCTATTGTTCCTAAATCCGATGGGTATCATGCTAATGGAGACTCAAAGGAACAGGGATGCTGATGACTATGATCCCAAAGGACGGATGTGCGTCGCCATCCTGAGGACTATAGGAAAAGTGTCTTGGAATATCATCCGAAATCCGATAGTATTTGTTACCCTTCTAGGAGTATTTGGAAATTTTCTCTTCCATGGAGGACTACCCAGTGTGCTTTTTGGCATTTTGCAAGTAAGTTTTCATACGCGAGCTTCATCAAAGTAATTTGTAGCATAAGTAACTGCTGCGTGCTTAATTTATAGGATATGCGTTTGAAAAGCAATACGTTTCACATAAAACACGATTTTAAAATGGCAGTTCTGAACTCTAAAGGTTATAATAGGAAGTTTTGTCACTTGTTTTATAGTTTGTTATTTAAATTTTGGCTGAAGTTATAATACTGTGTATATTAGTAGCTCAAACACTTGGAATAATTCAGAATTTTTAAAAATTAGTAACTTCTTATGTTTTATGTACTACTCCCCTTTAGTTCTTAAGTAAATACTTGCCTTTAAAATTATTTTTAACAGAATTTCATTTGTTTTCACTATGTATACCAATATCCTATTAACAGAATATTCATCAATAACTCAGCAATTAATCTTACAACTCAGATTACTGCAGAGCTAATATGTCGCGATGAAAAATATTTGCTACTTGAGGTAAGTGAAAAAAAGCATACGTCAAATAGACCTTTTAAACAGTGTGTGCATTACAGTTGGAATATCCACTCCGTAATCAATTCAAAGAACCGATTCACTTCATTGAGCGAAATTGCTCCATTTCCAGAAAACGCATTTGTAGCTCTTTTAGAGTTCACGGAAAGTTCTTGATGGAAGCGTGCCAGGAATAGAGATCTGCTATTCGTTCCTGAATCGATTCATTTTATTTGAGCGAGAAAACACGTCATTGGCGGAGAAATAATAGGAGGATGTTGAAAGCATGTTGGGAAAGTTCGATTCCCGTTTTAGGAAAGAAAATATATTTATCCTGCCATGTTACGAGTGAGTTTAATTTTTATCATTTACCAACTTTTTGAAAAAATTTATTCTAGAATTTTATTACTAGTTCCATGCAGAAAGGAAATTTTAGGAAATCTCAAAATTACAAATGAAAGAAATCAGCTCAGAGAAATTCATCTGATTGAGTAGATCCTTCCGATTCCACCGCTGGCTCGTTTCTTTTTTCTTCTTCGCTCCAACCTTCCCGATCTCACTGCCCGTACGATTTTTCCACTCTTCACTCTATCCTCTCTAGCTGTTCTTGATTCAGCCCTCGTTCTGAGTCTTTTTCACCAAAGTTACTGTTAGTAAGAGCTAAATCATAAAAAGAACAGATTCATTTCAGTAATTCAATGAACGCTTCTGATTCGTTCCTACAAAAGAGCAGTTTTGCCTAATTCTATTGTGCATATGAATGAATTCCTTGAGAATTATTGTAAAAAAATAATTTTCCAAACAAACCAAATGCAAGCAAATGCCTTCCAAACAAACAGCAAGCAAAATTAATTTTAGGCTTTTAATGATGAAATAATATCAGCATTTATTTTTGAGGAACTCATCTTTTTATAGATTTTATAAAAATTATTGTAATAATATCAAATTGTATTAATATTAAAATATTGCATTAACATTAAGTTCAGATGCTAAAAAAATCACATCAATTTATTGGAAATATGTTATTTAATGTTAATTTAGAAGAAAAATTTAGAATTTGAATATAATATAAATAAGCATATTTTGAAAATATTATCAGTTTTTATTATTGTTGATAAAATAGCAGCAAAAGAAAATTTATTATTTGTGATTAACTTTTTTATTTAATTAATGATTCATTTTACTTAATTGATGATTTTATTGCTTGTGTTTATGAACACTCCAAATTTCATCACATGAAGAGGAAGGGATGAAGTGTTGTTGCAAAGGATGTCTGGTACACTATTATGTCACAGCACTTTACCTGACTTAATATAGGCTTTACCACGTACACCTCAGTAACGAGGATTGAAAATCTCGGCTAACAGTTGTTTTTTATAAAAAAAGTCGAAATCAGTTTAAGAAAAATATTTTGCATACATGTACACGAAGTTAATTTCTTTAACAGAAATTTTTGTGCTTGCGAATTTGCCCTGTTAAAATTTAAAACCTTCCAATATCCTTTTAAAGAAAATTCTCATATTTTATAGTTAAGTATCGAATAGTATTAGCAGGAGGAAAAATGTCTAACTTTTCCCTGATTTTATTTATTTTATCTGAAACGTTATTTTAGTTATAAACATACAAGAGCATATAAAAATTAATAATTGAAAATGCATTTTTGTCACAAACCTGTAGCTGGGAGTTATAATTATCAAGTCAAGAAGATGCTAGAAGTGTCCACACAAGCAGTGTAACGACGTGCCACGACTATCAGCACGACGACTGTTGTTTCTGCTTCCCTTAACGCTACAACAGAGAACGGGAGCGTCTACAGTAGTGTGAAAGACGACAACACGGGCCGTCTTTTCAGACAAATCCCGATTCCTCGTGCATCGTCGTGATGGACGTATCTATATGTGGAGGCATCAAGGAGAATGAACGTTGACAGCTTTCGTTCTGTATCGTCATACGTGTCCAGCGCATGGCGTGCTGGCATGTGGCACCATTGAGTACACATCCCAGTCACTTCTTGTTCGCATAGTCGATAATATGGACGATCGCCGTTCTATTTCTGTCGTGTTAAAACCCTTGGGTGTGCTTTATTATATAGGCCTTTGTGACGCCCATCTTTCAGAAAGATAATAAACGGCCGCATGTTGCCAGTACTGTCCTGATCTTTCTCAATACAGAGAGTGTTCGGCTCTTTCTTTGACAAGCAAATTCTCCAGATCTCACCAACTGAGAACATCCGTCACGCGTTGCTGAGAGACTGGCACGAGATCATTCGCCAACCACTACGATTCATGAATTCTGGCGTAGATGGGCCAGAATTCGTAAACTCCCTTCAATGGAGATTTAACAAGCCCCATTAAATAAAGTATCCGTATTTGCCATCCAAGCTCATTTCGACTCGATGTCCAGCCGAATTACAGCCACTACGATTGACGATATCTGGCATAAAGTTCCATGGAATGAAGTATCCCGTTGTTGCTGCCAGAGATGAATGTTCGATGTATTGAATTCTTCACGCTGTGTACTCAAAACCACTTGCAAATTTAATCATGTTTTCCTCCCATTATATTATATATGAGCAATACATAAGATTCTGCTATTTGTTTTCCTTCCATAACAACATAAAGGTTAACTACTTGATCAAGAGAACAATCAACGCTTTTTATAATTTTAAAATGTTCAAAGATGTTATGAATCTATTTATATATTAAATTTAGTAAAATAAGTATTTTTATATTAAATTCGATTCATTTGAAAAATTAACGATTGGAAGGGAAATAAAGTTCGTAAATTACCGCTAGAAATATTACAGAGCTGTTTTGTTACTATACGAAGTACATTGTTGTAGTAAATTCATTATTAAATAAAAAATGAAAAGGGTGAAGAACTCAGTGTCTACGAATTAAAAGCGGTTGATGTTTATTTTTCAAAGATATGAAAAAGTAATGTACCCATGACTAGAAGGTGAAAAAGGATGCAAAGATTAATTTCAACAGTATGAAATGAAATAACTCAACTAGAGTGAAGTAAAACAAAAGTGATTTTCAGGATTTTATTAAAATGGCCTTAACAGAAAAAAATTATATTGAAATTATTAAGAGTGAGAACTAAATCAATTGAACGAGATTTCAGCTCAACGAACAGTATTTTCACAAGGTATTTCTTTGGTTGTATTCAGATTTAATAACAGTCTTCTTCAACGGGATGCCTTTAAGAAGGTTGATTCTATAGTCCTTATATAACAGCTTCCTTATATAACATCCATTTTGAAAAATTATCGCTCGGCCTTACAGCCTCTTAGAAGATCAGCTGACATGAAAAAAAGAATGAAACAATCTGCAATAGGTTTCTATAGATTTGTAGCATAAATTTTAATTAGTGTACAGACTAATTAAAATTTGCTACTTTTCTTATGTAATTTCTATATTTCATAATTTTTTTAAAAATGTTCATGCACAATAATTTGTACTTTCTGTTTGTAAAAAGTGACCCATTTAATTAGAATTTGATTTTTTGTTTTCGTAAGACAAGAGCGGACCTTTATTAAAATTTTTATAGCTCACCATTGAGTTTAACTGCTAGTAAAGCTTAAAATTAACTGTCAAAATGTGTAATTCAACTTTCACTAAGAAACTAATAGCTTAATATTTCTTCCAGATCTTATCATCTGCCTTTTCTGCTTGTGTTCTATTTCTTTTGGGATTCTCCGTTGCGGGTAACGGGCAAACAAAATATTCCAAAAAAGAAGGTCTCTTGACTCCTTCAGTTCTCCTCATCGCCAAGATGTAAGTTCTGAAGGTTTTAGATTCATTATTACAATTTTTAAAAAGAATATAAATGTTTTTAGCTGAATTCTTTACATTCTATGCTGGAAAATGAATAAACTGGCGTATTTTATTTCATTTTTTTAATTTAGAAGTCGGTACATATTTATGATTCAAATGCTTGCTTTAATGCTTTCGAGCTTTTATCATAAATCACATTTCTGTCATCATCCATCCTGTTATTTTACAGGGATGTACTTCATGATACTGAAAACTGCTCGATCTGAAATTTTTTCTACGCATTACTTATCAACTTATAGCAGAAAAAGCCCCTAAGTTTTTAAATACCCTCTTTTAGTACTTTAATTTTAAGTGTATACAACGTTAATAAGAACTAATGTATAAAGTCCGGTAATTATTCATTTAATTTTTCCATTTATCTTTAAGAGACAAAAATGCGTTTATTTTTATCAAGTAAGTACACTCATACAAAGCACGAAAAGCATAAAGAAGTTAAAGAATTTTCTAAATTATCCTTTCATATTGCTTATATTTTCTCTTATTAATAAAATTGGAAGATGTCTCAATACTGAAAATCTACTTTTATCGAATACATTTCAATATAAATTCATTAAAAAAGGACATACGAGTATTCTAGTTTCAGGTTATTAATATACACACTTTTGCTGAGCTTTGTTAGCAACTAATTAAAATTAGAGTTCCTTTCTAAGTCAAAGGTAATACAAATTTTAGTTCTGATCTACATAAACCCTTCGGCTAACAGAATGTTACGTTTCCAGCGTAACTGCACGCAATAACAAATTAATTTATTACTACTGTGATTGTGTAGAAATTATAATAGACTTTCATTTGGTGCGAGAAGTGTTCTTAAAATCAAAGAAAGCATTATTATTATTACTACCACCATCATCATCAGTTCACATTCTGTTCAAACATTACTAATTAAAAGCAACAAATTTGTTACTTTAAAAATCACATTGGTATTGTTTTCAGTTACGAATCTCCAAATGTTTCTTGTAATTAAATGCTTACATCAAACAGTAACACGATCGATTAAAATAAGCTGATACTGATATATTTTTAAGACGTATTTGACTTGTGGTATTATCTGTAACTAAACAGCAATATAATTCTGAGCTAGATTTGTAACGAAATTATATCATTTCATAAGATATAATTTATTATAAAGATATAATACATAAGATATAATTTATTAAGTACACCACTGCAGTAATAAAATCATCTGTATTTTTTCCCACTTATATGCTGTCAGGTTAGTCTCCCCTTTAATTACGAGAAGCTGTGTTTCCATGCTATGTGCAGGAGCTCCAGATGTAGAAGATCTCGCTGACTATGGATTTCTGTATGGCATGGTTCCGACGGGTCCCATTGTAATGCTGTTTGCCGTTGAATATGGTCTGAGAACGGAAATGGTGAGTCTTCCTTAAATATTCAAATAACCATAACCACTGAATCAGTTACAATAGAGAGAGGTACGTACTTCCAGCTTTATTCGTTGCCTCATTGGCCAGGTTTAGAAGTACCTAAAAAGGTGCTAAGATACGCCAACGAATTTTGACACATGAAGCACTTTAAAAATCTTAATCTACACTGAGAAGTTTATTGGTTGGTTTGTAGGACCTGAAAAAAGAATTCGTCACATCTTGCCTTCAGATAAATAATTTACATCACCAAAAGAATATTACTGGAGTGAGAATATCAATATGACTTTTATGTATTCTTATCGTTGCCTATTTCGTGCCTAAGCACAATACGGTTTATGAATAATCTTGCTTGAATCGAGGAATACAGTTTTCATCGGCCATAAATTTTAGGTATAAATAGGGACGGAGCAATATTTTTTAGTTTTATTCCAATTTTAATCTATAGTAACTCAAGAAATGTAATCCATGATGAAATTCCTTTTCCCCTATCAACCATCTCTCGAAAGGACGATTTAAATGCTACACTTGTAGAGACATTAGGTATTTTTTAAAGCACGAGATGTGAAAAATGAGCACCGCCTTTGCCTGGAATCGAACTACGGACCTCTGGAATACGCGCCCAGCGTGTTGACCACTACACTACGAAGGCAAGCTAAGAAAGCGGGAGAAATGCCTTATACCGTTCTCTAAAAATGTCTACCCGTTATCCGGGATTGGAAGCCAGTAGCACAACAGCTGGTGTTTCTTGCTAGTTAAAATATTGTGCAAAGCCACTGTGTTATAAATAAGAGGCTCATTTGTTTACAACATGTAAAACAATATAATTCTGTTTAAGGTAACCGACCTCTTTCGAAGAACTTTTTTTCAAAATGTTCGTTATATTTTTGAATTTATGAGATATTTTATTGGATTGTACTCACAGTTAACCACTAAAACATACTAATGAAAAATTCATATTTTGTGAAATTTATCCAAGAATCTGAAAACTTTAGATCGAAATTAACAAAACTATCAACCATCACCGACATGAAAATAATGATGACAAAAAAAAAAAAAAAAAAAAAACTTTTAACTGTATATTGGTACATACTAACCAAAAGCATACATAAGAAAAAGAAGAGATAATACACAATAAAAATACTTGGCCATATTCTCGTGACATATTGAAATTTTTAAAATTAATTAAAAAATAACATAAAAAAAAATGAAAACTACGTCCTCAATTTGCCCTTTAAACTTTGACTTCTGGCGTGGCAGATGGTAACTTCCGGTTTGTCCTCTCTCAGAAAAACTGGTATATCTCCATTTCTAATCGACATATCAAGAAAAGAAAAGTTGTTTTTGACAGCTAAGAATGTGGCCTTTACACATTTTAAATAAAAGGATTGAAAATTTTAACAAAATCGGCAGCAAAACAAATAAATTGCAACAAACAATTTTTTAACAAAAAATATGTATGGCATATATAATTTTAAACGACGTCGTTTACCTTAATTCCTATCATGCTGGATTCCGTAAAATTTTCTGTGCTGTTAGGCTCACTCCATGTTTATATTTCCTTTATACTGGGTTTCCAAAGGCACCCTATAAGAGTTGAAATCTTCATTTTCTAAATTATGTTAGATAGTAAACCAGCCCAGAATTCTATTTTCTTCCTTTCCTTTAATATCTGTTTCTCACAGCGTGTTATTTGTTTCTGATTTATTATTAGCAAATTCATAGAGAATTTCGAAAGTGGAGTTATTTTATCTTGTTAATATAATATAAAGATCAAGTTATCCTATATTTTACTATCGCAATAAAATGGATTACGTTTTAGCTTTCTTTCTTAATTAATTTATTAAAAATATTTAAAAAAATTAATAAAAAATGATATTTTAGTTCTTTCATTCTTTTCTACTTACTGCAATCGAAACAGTTAAATTCATTTTATCCAATCGTCTTCAAGAAATTTCGCATAAAATTAGGATGTAGTAATCAGCTGCAGAGCATAAAATGTATTAAAAAGGAATTACATGTTTAATTCTGAGAAATGATAAGAATGTAGATTGGATAAAGTTATTATTCAATCTACAGTCTACACTTATCTCTGTACATTAATACCTTTCACAATAATCTCATTCATAGTACGTTTTATGAAAGTCCTAAAATTGTATGTTTTCGTTTATAAACTTGAAACTTTTTGTTTTGTATGCCTTGACCTTAAATGCTTATCGTTCGAGGACTCTTGAAATGCAGATAAGAAAGCTTCACTCTACTGCGTAATGTCGCGCATGTGATCGTCCGTCGCAGTCCTTATTATAATTCATTGCCATCGTGTAGTTATATAAGCCTGAAAAATACGATGAAATAAATTCCTCAGAACATTCTGTAATCAGTTAGAATTAACTATTTGAAGGAAGTTTACTGATTATTCATTATGAAAAAGATATAAGGAGTTCACCCTATAACGAAGACAGAGCGGCAGTTTAAAGGAAATTAAGGAAATTATTGTGGAAAGAATGTGCCTAGAATTTACTCTATAACATTATTGTATTTTACTTTAATCTGTGACGCGTCTGGTTTTACATTCTTGTAGATTTTAGCACTGATATGTCAATGTTAAGCAAATTTAATATAATTCATATTTGTTAACTAAATTATATATTGTTGTATTGACTTCGGATCAGAGATTAGAATTATCCAATTAACTTTTTCTGCCTGTTTAATATGCTGTATCATGTTTATGATGATTTCAAAAAGCTGCCTGATGTTCTCATAAGAACTTTCTGATTAGCTGCTTTATTTTATACTGGCCATATGTTAATTGCCGCATAGGCGAAAGAGTGGAAACTTTAATGATGATTTTTTTCTTTCAGATTATTTTCCAGCTTAGAATATGTCATTAAAACCGTTGAAATTATAGAATTCAGTTCCACTTCATCACGGTTCGAATTAATTTCAAAGTTCCGTGCAACAGAAATATGTAACAGCTACTTGAGTTTCATAAAAATTATATACTGTTCTGGCACTGTTCGCTTGAAAAATATGATTTAAAGAAGTAAAGTCAGAACATCAAAAAGCTTTCTTGAGCTAAGAATCATAAAATCAGAACAATGAAAAACGTTCCTGAAATGTAGCACTTAAAGTAAATGCTGTCGGACTTCCCGAAAACAATAGCTATTAAGTTTTCTAGGAATATCAGGCGTGAAAAAAAAATGAGAGTCAAAGGTGTGGCGTTTCCATATTGTCCACAAACCTCAAAACAAAGCGCATAACGTAGGGCATGCATCAGCAATATTTGCAGCCATGGAATTGATAAACATAATTTATCTTTCAGTTGCAATCTTTTAGGTTATTTTTAGTTTTAAGTTTACCATTATGTCACAAAGCACATTCCTGGGAGCTGGTAAGCGTGTCATACGGCATTGACTGTTATTCGCATAATGTGATATAGACTCATTAGCGGACAAGCGGTAAAGTTCCTGAACACTGGTAGTTTGGTCCGGGATTCGAATACCGGCAGGTGAGCTTGGGTGTTTTCGTGGTCTTTCCTATATGTAACATGTATATATGGACTTTCTAAGGAAAACTGGCTTTCAAGCCAGTTTCCCTTAGAAAGTCCTTCCCAAAGCCATTCCTCCCCTTATACAAATAACTCACGAGTGCTTTGCTATAATCAAATAAATAAAATATTGTGATACACAGCACAAGCTCATTAGATAGCTAACAAATGATGCTGTGGAGTTATAACTACATCTTTTGTATCACAGGAACAAAATTCCTGAACAATAGTTGTCCGAAAATACAATAGAGCCACGAAAAAAGTGCTAAAGGTCAGGAATAAACGTACGGGGCCATATGATGATATAGGTACTGTCTCGTGATGCTACTGATCCAATGAAGCACCCTTCAGAGGCTCTATGTTACCTTTCCAAAATACTTTCTTGTGAATTGTTATCACAACTCTTGGGACAGGCGGCGCAATTGTCACGAAATCGCCAGCTGTGAATACCAAATTCCAGATGTACGTAATACAGGATTCACATTTCATTACTGGCATTTAAAGAATTGGCTCAAAGCAGCTGACTCAGTTTCAAATCCCGCACATATTTCCTTCTCTACCTTAATCATATCTTCTGTTTCAAGACATAAATTTACTATGTATGGCATATATAATATTCCGACCTGTGAATCTAGTGCCAGCATCAACTCAGGCATCAACTTTGCTCGTAGCTCCGTTTTTTCCACTACATTGCTATGCCGTGGTGTAACGCCGTGGTTTGCACCTGTTGTTTAGTTCACATGCTGAATCATCTTAGAAAGATTCTTAGCGATTGTTGTCAAAATATCCGTTAGTTTTCTTTGTTAGTTAGGAAGATTTTTATGGCAATATCACTAAAAACTTCATCATACATTATTTACAGTCGCAGAAGAACTATATTGAACAGGCAGAAATGTTAATCACATATTTTCAACTTCTGATCTGAAGGGTAATTTAGTAAGAAAGCAAATGTTTGAAATAATAACTCATAATTTAAGAATTAACTAAGACGCTTTTCCTTACATGGCTACCAAAGCTTGTTCATGAAGTACCTAACCAAGAATTAAAAAATGTTTAGATTTTATTCGAAAAAGTCTTCATCCCAATAAAACCATTATCAAAATTTCTTCTTCTTTTCTTCCTTTTGTAAATTAATTCATATGTGAAAGATATAAAAAGAGTAGTCTTCAGTTGTTGTATTAAATGACTTGAGAATTTCATTTGATAAATCTCATTAATGATAACCTTTGCATACATATATATTACTTGAGAAAAAAAAGAATAAATGGATTTTATTCAGCTAAGAAAATATTCAAAATTTATAGCTGTCCATTTTCTTTTTTGTACATTTTTCTGTTATTAAGAATGCAGATAAAAAAATCTTTCACTCGCAATTTGGAGCTGTTATTAATTGTAGTCTTACAATGCTATTCTTTAAAATATTTTCAGATAGCGTCTACTATGGTGTTGTGCACTGGACTCTTCGGACCGGTCGTTTTCATTTTAGCGAGGATGCTGTCCTTGAAGGTGAGAGGCATTGGCGAATTTGCTGAGGAATTGAGAGCAACAATGCTAGTATTGAGCATTCTCAGCATACTCTCTTGCGTAAGTATGTTACCAATATCACAAATGAATCCTTTATAAAACATCACTCGCGTTAATTTCATAAAATTTTAATTAATTAAACTTAGAAGGTCAAAACGTTATGACAATAAAAAATCAAAATTAAATACTATACAGCTGTACATCCAATATGTTATATCTTCTAGTTTGAGGTATTACTGCATACAAGCTTGTAGCTTAATGGGAAATATGTCAGTTACTAATAACTAAGGCGGTTGCCTACACTGATGAACGTATAAAATGGAGCAGCAAGCAGGTAACAGAATTTTGGATGTTGACGATAGCGGTTAGAGATTGTTTATTCAAGGAATAACCAGAAGTTTTTGAAACGTCTGTGAATCGCTCATCGTTCCTTATATCGCACAGGAAGAACGGGGTGTGACATTGTGATACATGTATAATCTCACTACACTACCTGTACAGCTCCAGTTTTTTAACTCAAGGGAACAGATCCGAGGGTATTCCACCCTTCTTCCCCTACTTCCAAATCACTCGAGGGAACATTCAAATTGCCAATGTTTTAAATACTCCCATGCCACTTAGACACTATATGCTTGTAAACATCCATGCTTTCTCCAAGAATACGGCAGGTAGCATCGCTAATTATTACACTGCTTTATCTGTACAGGTTCAGGTAGAGTTGGGCAGGACCCCACAATTTCCCTACTGAACGAAAATAAGAATAGTTTCGCTGCATTAACTGTGCAGTTCCGGCCCAGTTTTGAGGTAAAACTACCCGGGTGCGGTGCGAGGGTCTCCCACCCTTCTTCCCCTATCTACAAACTCTCGAAAGGGAGTTCGACTCGCCGTAAATTTTGTGTGCCCCTTGCCCCACAGATACTATACGCTTACAAATATCAATGCTTTTTCCAGGATTCAAAGCCGGGCCCATCGGTACGGCAGTCAGCGTTATTAACCACTATTCTGGCTAGGCGGTTTCGTTGCCTGCACAACAAACCGTTAGCTTTTTAGTAAATCTCTCAGGGAAGCATTCGTTGACTATATTAAAGAGCACTGAAGTGTTTTTCAGTCCCGTTTGGATGTACTCTGTTAGTAAAAATCCATAAAAGTTTATTTTTGAAAATACTGATTCACTGTGTCAGGATGAATTCCAGAGCATCTTATGAACACTAAAGTAAAAAATCTGAAGTGTACATCACATGACTTCCTTGTACGGAATATTAAAAGTTGCGCACTTTTTCTTGCATTTTATTTAAACATATTGGATAAAATCGTATTAAATCTACTTCGCCGACAGCGCATAAACCACAATAAAATAAATGCATTCTTTAAAATTCAATCTATTTGTTTACCATAGCGACAATCTGGCGCTAGGTTCACTTAATAGTATTATATTTTGTTCATATTATAACTCAGAATGCACAAAATTTATACCATTTAAAGAATTATCTAATCGTTGCCACATGCTCTATTCAAATACTATAATAAAGTCAAAACGATGTATAAAAGAAATTAAGCAAACAAAAAAAAGAAACAGTTTTTCACAGAAGATACGGTATTTCTCATTCAATTAATTCAGTTCTCACTTCGCGACAAAGCAAAAATACATAAAAACTCAAAATATCTGTATTAAAAATTACTAATTATTAAAAATTAAATTACTAATTATTAAAAATTAAGTAAATCTTAAACACTTATTTCCTCGAAAAATTCCAGAAAGGATTAAGCATAATTTAAATCGCAATAATAAATGAAGGCGTTATCTTTCTTGTTGCGAAACTACGTTTCTCTAGATTTGCAACAAATCCCCTACTCTGCTGTTTCACATGTAAACAAGCAATGGCCGCCATCAAAAAAATTATAGGCTTAGCGGCAATTAAACAGCTTTTAAATTGTTGATAATTCTAAAAATATTGCGTACAGATTTACTAAAGACGTAAAAACCTTAACCGAAAGATAAGAACAACAGAATTAAAACATTTTTAAAGCAAAAAATGTACAATTTACAAACGTATAAGAGTAAAGAAACTGAGATTACTGAGCCGGGTAATAGAGTGGATATATTTATAAGTATATTTATATACGTTTGGGGCGGCCGATTGCAACCAAAATACGAGGTGCACATCTACATGTTATAGTAGTCTTATATACAAAATTTCAACGTTCTGAGGCTATTCGTTTTTGAGTTATGCGAGATACGTACATACGTACGTACAGACGCCACGAAAAATTCTCTTCAGAATTCATTTTAAAGCAGTTTTATAATTTTTTTTTGGAGGAAAAGAGTCTTTTATTCTGTCCTTACGTACAGATATCAAGCAAAAACATCGTTAAATTGCATTCAAAAGCGATCAAAATGGATATTTTCGTTGAAATATGCTGCCTGAAACTTTTCGCGATTACAATACTTCCTTTTTACTTCGTACAAGGAAGTAAAAAAGAAAAAAAAAATATTTGTTGCTATCTCAGTACAGAAGTTATTTGGCTGATGTGACTTAAATGACTACTCCTTCCAACTCTTTGAAAAATATATCTGATCTGTTGACCTATGTTTTCGCATGCTTTCCCAGCGATCGTGGCATGAGCTGAACTAAAAATGAAGCTTCAATAATACTCAGAAATGTGGTTCGATAGGGTCATTTCAAACAGAAGGAGTTGGCTAAGCATTAAGCTTAGAAAATGTCCTATATCCGAAGTATATTAATGCATACTACTTACGAATAACTTTTAAAGTAATTTACAATGTATTTCTATCTTCTTTCCGTACAAAACTGTTAATATTTTAGGTTGCATAGGAACTATCTGTAAACAACGGCGTGTTTTATGAACGATTTAAATAAAACTATCATTGTAGAGAAAAGTGTAGGCAAATACAATTATTTCACTTAGATCTATTTTTAACAATAGAATTTTAGGAAAAAATATCTAAATCTTAATTAAATTTTCAGATTTATTACTCGATTCATATACATGGATAATTGAAGCTTTTGTTAAAATCGACGCTTCCCTAACGAATATTTATACAATTTCTCCTTAGCCGTATGTTTTTGCTGTTAGGCGCTTATAATGTACACGAAAGCATTAAGGCAAGGTAACAAAGAAAAATATTTAAACTAATAAAACGAAATTTTAATGGCAATTGATTTCGTAAATGTATGTAAATATTTTTGTATTTTATTACACATTTTTTATATATTTCATGTAGCTGAATATTTTTGTCTCATTGCAAATCTTTAAAATAATTCTGTGCATATTTACTTTTATAGTACTTTAAATTTCCTGCGAGCAGTAAATCTTCCAGTATTAGAGTATTGTGTCTAGCTAGCCATTTGAGTAGACCCTGAAATATTTCCTGATGGAAATTAACGTAAAAGTAACGTAATCCTTTAATTTCTGTTTACTTTATTGTTCCAGAACAGGCTTTTGGATACCTACAAGCATTTTAAATGATTTTGCGAAACATTTTCACATTTCGTTTCTTCTCAACAGGAAAAGTATCAAAAAGCGACTAGCAGAAGTCGCAAATTTCTGAGCGTAGCTCTACCAGTAAGGTGTAGATTTATTAAGCTTTCTGAATTTTGATGCTCAGAATTCGGTACAGCAGTTGGCTCATGTTTTTCGAAATGAATCTGCGTCATTTATTTCTGTGTCAAGAAGTTAGCGGTATCTCGCGCTCCCGAAGGGGCTCTGTTTCATTCTTCTCTCATTTTTATAAATTATTTTCATCTTGGAAATGAAATAAAAGATTTAAGTTTTCGTTTTAATATTGCCAATTTATTCTTGAGCTCAATAATAATAAATCAAATATTTTTTATTTAATTTGTTTTCATGTTGTTTTACATGAAATCGAAACAGTTAAATAGTGCTAAATTGTTTTGAGAAAATTAAAACTTTCTAACGCATTTGTCTCTGTTACAGAGAGCTAAGAATTGCATACCATATCTCTACTGAAGCTGCAACGCTGGCATGAGAAACTATTTTCATCCACTACTGAAACCGAAAGTAGACAGAAATTGTAAATATTCAGTAGCCTTAGTCACATTGTTGAGACTTGATAGCAGAAAGTGTTACGTTAGCTTTAATGCTCGAGAAGCAAAAACTATCGCGGAGAGAATAGTCTCAGACCTAAAAGTTCCGAAGTCAAAGAGTTTATAATGAGAGCAAAAGTATTTTTGTTTTGCAAAAAACATATTCATAGTTAGCAACCCCAAAAATCCCTTTCCCTAAGAATTCATTTGATATGTTTCAAGTTGCTTCCGATTTATAGCTGCATTCTCTTTTCTAGGTGTGGATTGGAATGTCGCTCATCATAAGTAAAAAAGTGAAACGTCACTTGTACAGAGTAACTTCTTGCCTAATGTTATCCCAGGTAATTTATTTTTAGAAACTTTTGACTTATCTTTCAAGATTTCTGAACACGAGATCTCTTCAAATAAGTTGTATTTTTAGTTAAAACGAAGGTGTAAAATCTTTGAATCTGAAGTGTTCTTATCTCATTATCAGTGTCAAGAAATCAGAAGACTTCATCTAATTACATATATTACACCGCAAATTTTCTGCTTTATGTTATGGTTGTTCTCTCAAATGAATTTTTTTACCCATCAAACACATGTAGAAATAGCTTTGCATATCATCATAGCAAGAGGAGAGATAATCTCTGTTGCTTATTCTATAAGGTATAATATAAGATATTTTCTAGAAATTTTTATTATAATTCTAAAAATTTTGAATTTGATAACTTTGAAGCAACAGAAAGCATTCAATAAGTTTAAAGCAAATCACGTTTAATTCCATGTTTCTAACTAACATAACTAAGAATCGAGCCTGTTTTAATTAAGCTTTGAAAGAAAACCGCAAATTCCTGATATCCTTTCTTTTTATAGAGTGCATAAGAAATGCAGCTCACAGATATTTAAAGTTCATAATTTTTATCATCATAGGTACTTATGGCTGTAGGAATTTTTATGTGGTCTCTCAGTCGAAACAGTGAAGAGTGGATGATGTACGCCGAAGTGACGCTTATATCCGCCGGTCAACTGATGTGCAGAATATGGGTGGCTATTCTTGCCATGACCTTGGTCTTCCTAAGACGAAATCCACGTGTTCCCTTTGCGAGAAAAATGTTTTGGCCTAACTGCCTTGGATTTGGGTATGTTTCTCTTTGCCCTTTCTATGAAAACACTCCTGTAATAACATAGAACACGTGTTCTAGTTTGTACTTTTATGATCTTTACTAAGTTTTGATAAACGTTTTTAACTTTCTTGTTTATTTAAGAGAAAAGTATGAAAACTGAGTACTGTCAAAACATTTACTTTTGTTCGACTTAAACTCGTAATCTTTCGAGGAATTTATAATTAACATATCTCGAAACAATGATACGGTGATCTTTACACAATTAATCCATCTAGTTACAAATGGAAAATATATCGGCATAGTTGTCATAAGCATTCCATGATGTCGGAGGTCTAATTTGACATTTGGAGAAAGCTTAGCAAGAAATCTCTCAGGAAGTCAGTTGTTTGTCAACTGTTTGAGTCCAAGTCAGTCGAATAACTACTTACATACAGACCATAAGTGGACAAGCGCTTTATTGGTTAATTCATTAAATGCAGTTGTATCTCTTGAAGAAGCTTTCATTTCTTCTGAAATTTTAATCGTTTCTTTTGCTAAACATACACATCACAATCATATCCTCGAACGTCTTTTGCCCCTTTAGTTTTATTTATTAGACTAAAGGATCGTTATCTGAGAAGGGCTATTAATTTCGCTTTGGCATTTTGTGTCGATTCACTTTCTGCGTTGTTTCACTTTTCAAACTGTTGCTACCAAATATTATCGCCCTGTGTTATATTTAAAGATATTAACTAATGAAGAATCTGAATAAATGTATGTATGTTTCTCGCATTGTGATAAAACAACGGTAGCTAGAGCCATCAAATTTTGAATAACGTAATCCTCCTCCGAATATAGGCATCTGGGAAGCCTAAATTTGGAATTGTTTTATTATCTACTTTATATTTTATAAAGAATTTATGAGTTTTTGATTAAGAAACTCAACGATTTCAAAGCGAGCAATGGCAACACTTCACGGAAAAAAAAAAAAATTATCTCCAACGCGCGAGACCGTGTATCGGAAATTCTAAAGATATACTCATTTTAAAATTATTTTGCGATATTGCTGTTGAATTGAATTTTATGGTTTAAGTGCGAAGAACATGATATTTAATAAATAAAGGTAACACAGAAAAGGTTAAAAAAACGCCGCTTTGAGCGTAATGTAAAATCTGAACGCTTTCAAATTTTTTTTATCTACTTTTTTTTTTCAAATATTTTCTTTTATTTTATTTTTTGGTTGTTGTTGGTTTTGTGTTAAAGTTTGTATAAGGATTACGAAAAACGAGGAGACTGGAATTCAGTCGTATGTCATTTATTATGAGTTAGTTTACCAATTTTCTGTTAATTGCAGATTTCCTGCTCTTGTTGTCATCATGATTCTCATTGTCACCGGCATAGGGCATTGTGAACCAGACTTAGACAAAGAACTTCCGCTGTTTATATACGGAACAACTGAGGTAATTGATATAATAATAATTTGAATTTGTATGATCTCCTGATTTGTTGTAAGTGCAATAGGTAAAAGCGCAGAATAGGCTGCAGTAGGCGGAGCTGTGTGACGTCCATGAATGGGTGGGACTAAGCTTGTGACGTCCCAATGTAGTCTCGCATTTACACTACACGTACTTTCTATTTTCTCTTAAAAATAACAATAATAAATTATTTATTATTGTAAATTAATATCAAATTCTTTACTTTTAATTTACATTTATAACATTTAAGCTCAGGCGTTACTGATAATAAGTATAATAAATTGTTTATATTTAAAATTACCATGATACAGTGAGCGAATTCTACCAATTATTAAAACGATAAACAACGTCGCAGTCTCTAATTTACTTGTAGAACTTCAATATTTTCAAAGATTTTTATTAAAGCATTTATACAAATATTTTTTTTTTAATTTAAATTCATATTTTGGAATATTTCAATTTTATCATTTTTACAAATTACCTTCTTACTACGTAACGACATAACTCCTTACATACCAATAATTAGACAATTTTCATTATTTTCTAAAAAATTTGAACTTTACATTAATAAAAAAAGATGAATATTTTTTATTGCATATGAACATCATTTCACAGCTTTCATATCAGTTTCTAAAATTCCTAAATCACGCCATATTCTGTGTAGGCATACTAGAATTCTACGCATTAATAAATAAAAAAATCTAATTTCTCAAAATGAAAGAAAATAATATAATAAAATAAGTACTACAAACTTGGAACACTAAGCAATGCTTCACATACGCACACACACACATATTATCAATGAACTCATATTATCAAGTGCAATTACGATACCAAACACTACGTATTAAAATATGAGGTAAACGTTACTTAAAGGATTAAAGTTTACAGCAGGGATGTCAAACTCATAGGTACACTTGGGCCAAAAAAACAAGGTTTAACTTTAGGCGGGCCGAAAAAAAAAAAAAAAAAAAAAAAAATCAATATTCATAGAAACGTAGATTTATTTCGAATAATACAATAATAAACATATATATATATTTATATAGAAAAGAACAAGAAAAATTTAATGTTTACGTTCTGATACTTGACATCTCTTCTCTGCTATTATCTTTCCTATTTCGGGAGAAATTTTGTTTGCAGTGATAACTTTCAACGCTGACCCAAGGTGAGCATCATTAATACGGTTTCTAATAGGAGACTTATTACCTTTCATGACTGAAAATAACTGCTCGCACCGATAAGTGCTACCAAACATGGAAATAATTTCATATGCGAATTTTCGAGTATTTTCAAACCTGGCTGGTAAATATTTGTAAAATTCAGGCACGCCCACTTCAATGAATTTTGCTTTCAAATTTGAGTTGCATTGAATCTCGATCACCTCCATTTGCATATGGCTAGGTACTGAGTCAATAATTATTGAGAAAATCGAAGAAAACAAAAAAAAAAATTGTCTTCGAGGGAACTAAAATCATTAAACCTCGTTTCAAATTCAGTTGTTAAATTTGCAATTTTTTTTTTCTGCGTATTTTTGATACGAACAAGTATCATCTAAACTTGATTTGTTCATGCTGCACGTCGGGAAGGGCGTCAAATCTTCATTTTAAGTTGTTTTCCCAAAGAACTAGTTGACATTTGAATCGTTTAATTATGTCAAACATGTTCGTAATGATATGATCTTTTCCTTGTAAAGATAAATTTAAATCGGTTAAGTGTTTGGTTTATATCAACCAAGAAAGATAAATCTTGTATCCATATTGGATCGTAAAACAAACTTACGTCTTGATTTTTCGTTTTTAAAAACTGACATATTTCTTCTTTCAAATCCCAGAACAAGCTTTTGAAGACTATCGATTTATTAAAAAGAAAATGATATGAATCAGTCAGATTGTGAGAAGAGAACTCAGGTTATATGGTGATATTCAGTACTTACATGCAATTATTCGAACACAGACATCATAAAGAATTTGTCATTAACGACAATAGATGGCAACTCAGAACCCTTTTTTTAACAGCGCCTTAGAAGTATACCGTATGGCTCTGTTTTCTTTTTATTTGTTTTATACTGGGGACGGGAAGGGGATTTTTGCAGGACGTGCCGGACATTGAATAGTCATATTCTGAGGGCGATTATGAGATATTTGACAAAACAATTATTCCATAGATAATTCTACCATATGATATCTGAATTTGAATAAAAAGTAAAAGCAAAGCTATCCACAAGCTAATAAAGAGAAATAAAGAGAAATGCTGCAAAACGCATATGAATGAGAAATTACTTTTAGTATTTATAAAAGTTAGGCGAGCATTAACAAAACTATTCCGTTCGTACGAATTTTTAAGGTTAGGTTTCAGGAATGTATAAAGAACTAAAGCAAGCATTTGAACGCTGTTCGAGGAGAGCAGCTGTTAAAACACATGCATAGTTAGGTCAACAGTTTAAAAAAACCTTGTCTACACATAGTCTGTATACTTTTCAAAAGCTACTAGACTGGGAATGAATTACCGTTCAGTAACTGGGAAGACTTAATGAACATATAGGAATATTTAGTCGGAAATGCTCAAACTGGTTACTTTACTAGGTGCTACTTTGGTAGACGGTTGCACGGATTTTTGGCGATTTACTTTGGCGCAATTGTTGGCGCGGTTTTTACAATCGTCAGCAATCTTGAAAAACGCTAAAGTATTCAAAACTTTAAAAAAATAAATATCGTTAAAAATAATGGATTAATTTTTTTGTTGAAAACGTTGTTTTTTAAGATGGCAGGCAAATGTAAATAAATTGATTTACTACGAGTATAAAATACTAAAGTAAGGTTAAATTATTACTTCATATAGCAAAGAAAAAGAATAAAAACACCGCTATAAAAACATTGTGCTTATGTTTAATTGGATTAAAATCTTAAACTGAATATCGAATTAAAACCAGCATACCAACGTTTAAAAGAATTAAAATATTACTTAAATTTAAATACATTAAAATAAGTAAATAGGAACATTTCGTACACTAGAGCTAAAATGACAGCAATTAGAAGTTTACTGCCGGTAAAAAAGGAGGAATGTCTAATTACTTTTTTACCGTTACAGCGGTTATTTCTTCCACCGTGGCCACAATACCATATACGGCCGTCTTCAGAATCGGCTCTTTTACCGATCTTCATCTGTGATCTCGCACTTCATTGAAGAAGCAATTAGCGAGATTTCCTCCAAAAATTTAAAATAAATTTCCTCTGACCCTTGTAACAATTTATAAATAAATCTTTAATTAGGAAAGCCAGGTTGGCCAAAATAAAGTCTCAAAGGACAATTTTTTATTCCGATACCAATAATTCTGGTACTAACAAATAATTTTTGAAACAAATAACAAATTAATTTTTGAAAGAGACATATATTCGTTCGCTATGAAATCGAAGGAATTCGAAGAGATGAATAATAAAATTTTAAAATGGCGCGGTATTGCACAAATATTCAGTAACCAATCAGGGAGCTGATTACAGCTCGTTAATGCACAAATATTTTGTAATCAATCAGAAAGCTGATTAAATGACTCATGACGCATAGAATTAAAATTATTTAAATAATCCTACATAATAACATCATTTTTCACAGCCATAAATAATGTTTAAAACATTAGATTAAAGTTATAGATATTAAAACCAATTACTTTTAAAGTAAGGTGACGTCATTGATTACATCATCCACAACATAAAATTATATAAAATATCATAAAAAACAAAATTTTTATTTCAAATAAAAATGCAAAATTAAATTGATTTTTAATATTTAGAAGCCATAAATAATATTTAAACCACGTAATTGATGCATAATAAAACGCATTATTTTCTAAATAAAATGACAACAAAGTATCGGTTACCATAAACAACTTGTCCAGCAATTGGTTTACCATAAGTCGTATCGCTCGCCAAAAAGAAAATCGTCATAATCGGTGCAACCATCTACCAAAGTAGCACCCTTTACTACGTGTCGAATGGAACGAAAAGTGTCGTAACTTGTTTGGTCGAATAACGGATGACAGAGTAATAGAGAAAGCACAATCTGCATCAGGGTTCAATGCAGATGACTTCTCAATTAGTGATATTTCCCGCATTCTACACTGGTGTGCAAAACTTAAGCAACAGCAGGGTTTTTCGCCATAACTCCGCGAGAAATCAACTGAGAGACATGAAATGCAGGAATGAAGGAGAGTATTATGTACGTACAGGATGACGAAAGCATCGGAGCTGCAAAAGTAATACAATGCATACGGTATGGAATCAAACAAAAACAAGCTTTATTGAACGCATAGTATCGTGATTCATGATTGTCTATCCAAGAGAAAGAACAACAAGCAGATGTTCTTTAATATGGGATATGCCCTCCCCACACTGCAATGGTTGCTTCGCACCGTCTCCGTATACTCAGAACCAGCTCGTGCAACATTTCTTGCGGTAGGAGTGCCCATTCCTCAACCAGCATCTGTTTGAGTTGTTGGGTGTTCTCCGGAGGATGCAAGCGTGCTGCAGTGCATCTCCCCAAAGCATCCCACACATGTTCGATGGGATTTAAATCTGGGGAGTACGCTGGCTAATCCATTCGAGTGATATCTTCACTTTCCAGTAGCTCCTCAACAGCAAGAGTCCGATGTGGCCGTGCATTGTCATCTATAAAAATTAAGTCTGGGCCAATGGCACGGAACAGGTGCACATGGGGAAGGAGTACCTCCTCACAATAGCGATCCCCAGTTACAGACCCTCTGTCGAAAACGTGGAACTCAGTTCGCCCGTTCAGCATAATGCCTCCCCAGAAAAGAACTCCAAGACCACCGTTACGATGTCTTTCCTTGATGTTACTGGGATAAAACCGGATCCCGACCTCTCTCCAAATCAAAACGCGTTGAGAATCGCTTCTGGTACTGAATCAACTCTCATCCGTAGAAGAGGACACGACTCCATTGATCAGTTGTCCAGTTTTTGCGCTCTCTGCACCACTGTAAACGGTGGCGTCGGTGGCCAACTTTCAACGGGAGGCAGCGTTCAGGACGGCGGGCGAAAAGGCCCCCTTTGTGAAGGCGTCTGGCCACAGTTAACCACGACACTTGTCGCCCAGTAGCTGTACAGAGTTGCTGAGCAATGGCGCTTGCTGACTGCTGTCGGCCTCTTTTCGCCTGCAGGACGATATATCGGTCATACTCTGCAGCTGTCATCCTCGGGCGGCCACCACTAACCTTTCTAACAGCTGTACCTGTGGTTTGGAACGCTTTCCAAGCGCACGAAACGACACTTTTGTTGATTCCGAACTCTGCAGCTACACTGGTGACAGTACGCCCCTCCTCCAGCTTTCTTATTCTTCCACGTGAGAAGTTGTCCAGGTGATTTCTTCTAGCCATATTTCACGAACTGACTCACTGACACTTGCAGCGAATATGTTGAATTGCGTCTCCGTCCTTCCTTTTATTCTACTATTGAGCTGTGTGTGCCGACATCACGCGTTTTGTGTACGCTCACGTCGCCTCTGACGTTTCGTTCCTGATATTTGCATACGCATGACGTTTCCACTGACTTAATCTCCAGACCTCCTTTTCTGCAATTTCATGGCTATCTGCTAAATTTTTACATTGTTGTTTAAGATTTGCACACCAGTTTATATGCCATTTCAATTTTTAATTTCTACACTTCATTTAAATTTCTAAAGAATAAAAAAAGATAAAAATTAGGCAGACGATTGTCAATATTAGATTTGAAAAAGTGAAAAAGTTAAGGTGCAGATTAATACCGAAAGGGGAAAATATTGTCGTTTCTTACTTTGAAATAAAGAAGAAGCAATACATGTTTATTATTGACTCTATCTTTAAAGTTATAATACAAGTTAATAAATGCATAAAACCAGGCAAACACAAAATTTAATAGGTACTTTCTGGTTACCCTTGTGAAAAGCCGCCGGTAAGCACTGCTTTGTTCATAAATAATAATAAAAAGAAGCATCTTATTAAAAACAGGAAAATTTTATAAGAGGAAGATTATCTATATGGCCTGCATTCACATCTTACAAAACACTAATTTGCAAAATAGCTGTTAAGTATGAAACGAGTAAATCCATGTGTACTCAAACACGTGCACTTCCATTCAGAAGTCAGTTATTAGAGGGTGTTTATTTGAAAATATGTCAAAAACAAGGCAAATCAATTAAATGTTGAGCTGTAAGTACGATAATTAGAAAATACCATTTAATATTCTGTTTCATTTATTATCATGCTTTTAACGATTTCTGGTAATTGAAAGCTGCTAAAACAGCTTTATGATATTTGACAGAAATAAACCGCTTTAATTTTCTCTTCTTTCATGTTAGCTTTGCTTCTTTAGATAAATACCACGTATCAAACGAATCAGAGCTTAAAAGAGATGTAAAAAAGGACTAAATTTTATATAACTATTCCTTATAAGCATTAAATCCCAGTAAAATTTATCCTATGCGAATCAGTTTTAATTTGCGGACCTGAAATTGCATCAGCTAATTAATTCGACTCATGTACACTTTTGAGAATATAACAAAGCTCTTCAGAGTCAGTAAGCAAAGAAAAAATTTCTGAAGTACGAAATTTTTCTTTATGCCTTATTCTGAAGCTCTTTTATTCTCATTGGTCAGTTTGCACTGAAAATGGCCTTGCGTATAAAATGAGAGAAGATTAAATGTTTTCAATTAAAAAAATTTTAAATTAAATAAATGTTACTCATTTTCCTTTTCTGAAAAGTTTAAGTTAAATCTTATGTTTAAATGGGAAAGGAATGGCATTTGGATATCACTGAGTTATCCACATTTTTTTTCCTTAAATGTTCACATTCATATCAATTGTCGTATAAGTATATTTTTGAGCCAAAAGCACATAAAATAAAAGTATAACGAGAATTACTATTTTTTGTTTTTAATATTCACCTTTTTGAACATAGAAAAAAGTTAGCTTGTGATATATGCAGTACAATATATTTTAATAAAAATTTCTTACCTTATTTTATTGACTATTTAATTGGAGAAACATATTGATAAGTACGGGATCCTTCAAAATGACCGAGCCGATTTCAGGTGATTTTATTTTCTAATTACTTTCTTAATTTTAGAGATTTCCTTCCTATTTAATATCTATCAAAGTGATACACTGCAAAAGCGTATAGCATTATTTTCATGAGAAATAGGGTCAATCATTTCGAATAACTTTTTTGTACTATTCAAAATTTTTGAGAAGGTAAATAAATTGTGAACTATTGGTTGAAACAAAAATAAATATTACTCTAATAACAAATTGTTTGACTTCTTCAGGCAGTAGGTTCCATCGTCGTTCTTCTACTCTGTCTTACCACTACCAGTTTTTGTTTGGTTCTTTATTTCCGATCTTCAAAGCAGCAACTGTTAAGTGATGCCAGCGAAAAGAAACCGGAAGATAAAGAAATCGAAAACTGCAACGTAGAAAAAATGCAGAATGACGTCGAAATGGCAATTGAAAAATGCAAAGAGCTACCCACAGATAAAAGTCTTCTGAATGGCGCAGACATCGCTATATACAAACTGACAAAGTCAGATTCAGGTAAGTTCTGTTAAAACAATAATTAACAATTGATTAAAGTTTATTTTTGTGAAAGCTTTCCAAAGCAGCAAAGGTGTGGATTACTTTCTCCAAACGATAACTGGTTGGACAACATAGCAATCTCAAATTTTGTAAACGATCAAAATAGCAGCAAATTATAATACCAGTAAAGCGCATTGCTTTCCATCAGCTGTAAGGAATTGCTCATTTTTCACGTCTCCCGCATCAAGATAACCTAATGACTCTACAGCGGCGCCCGAACTAAAAATGTGGTGGATGATGATTCTTCACCACCAGGGGCCTACCAGCGGCCGAGCGGTAATATCGCTGAACACTGGTAGTTCGGTCCGAGGTTCGAATCCGGCGAACGGGCTGGCTGCATGGGTGTTTTCGTGGTTTTCCCCATGTGTAACGTGTATACGAGCCAGTTTCCCTTAGAAAGTCCTCCACGAAGGCATCCCTCCCCTTAGGCAGATAGCCCTAGTGTGCTTTGCCATAATTAAACAAACTAAACTAAAACTTCACCACCAGGATTTGGCGAATGTGTCACCTAATCTACAGTCGCCCTTTAAAGGGGGTAGTATATAAAGTGTTTTCTCCCTCCTTCCAGCATGCCTTCATGGTGTAACGGTTAACACACTCGGTGCGTATCGAGAGGTGCAAGGTTCTCGACTCTACAAGCTTGTATTTTTGACGTACACCACGATATGAAGAAGAACTAGAATCCAAAATTTTCTAATTAAGAAGCTTTATAGCATTTGAGGCATATTTTATTTATTATACTGATGACATAAAGTAACATTTGTTTGAAAATTAAAACTGTCCTTGTTTGTTAGGCAACACAGACAATATAAAATATACTGTAACTATCCAAATTTAAATGAAAGCAGCGCACTTAGGAATTTGTTAAAACATCGCTTACCAAAAGCAAGAGTAACTCTCTAATTAAAAAAATTATGTATCAGTGACACTACGTACTATTACCACTTTCATTCTTATTTTCTCGTTTATTTGTTCTTAAACCCTAAATAAATAATAGCAAATATTCTCCAGATTATTTCGTTTTTTATGATATACTGATTTTTACTTTTATTATCATTTTTTATTACCATTATTTTTCATTGTTTATCTCATTGCTCACTTTGGCCAAAGTTAGACGTAACTGAAATATGAACTGAATGTTGAAATATTCACATATAAAGTTCTATCTTTTGTTTATACATTTGGAGGATTGTATGTGATAATAAAATAGTAATTCTGTTATTTAAGCTAATGCTATGCGTAATAGCAATAAAATTATAATGCGCTAATATAAAATAAATTATTTGGATCATATTATTGGTATTCTTTATCAGTGGTATACGATTGCACTAGCATCTGGTTGACTTTCATAATCTGGCAAAATACCTGCTCTACTGGAATTATCCCAACATGTTCTGCTTCTTCTAACTAATCTCTAACTTTGACAATAAGGCCTTTGACGCTGAGTCTAATTATTTTATCTATAAGGGATTTTAACACGAGTTTTGACTTTGTTTTAGAAAGCTTAAAGCAAGATCAGAGGTCTGCAACCTTTTTTGGATCTGGTTCAAAACACACCAAAATGTGTGTACTAAGAACATATTTTGGATCAGTGGCATGTTCATTTTAAAATTCTTTTGTGTTCTTTAAAATAAATTATGTTGAAAAAATGATTACAGTATTCTTTAAACTTTAAACATAAAAACTGAAGTTATAGCTCTAATTATTACACGAGTAAAAACAAAGATAACTGACTAAACTTGATTTTTTCCTTCGATATCAATGGCTTCCCTAATGCTGAGCTTGTGTTATGTCAATTTAGTCTTCCGGCTTATAGTTTTAGTCTTAAGCAAGTTTAGTCATAAGTTTATAAGAAATAATGCATCTGGATTTTCCGTAACTAAGTTGCTCCTGTTCTTACGGAAAATAAATTTCATTTGCGTGAAATATTTGCCTTTTTTTATTTATTTATTTTTTAAAAAAAATTTTATTATGGATAGACACTCTTATGGATTTTTCCTTGAAATTATGTTACAATTTTTTATTTTTTAAAATAAAAATGCCTATCTTTTAATCAAACAAAAATGTCACTTTTATTACAAAGGCTGTTCACACATTTTTAGACGCTTTTCATTGCATTTACAGAAATATTTTACCTAAACGTTTAGCGTTTTAAATGTTCTATTTGATATCTGTTATTCTTCACTATCTTTCTACACCATAATTTGCAAGACAATAAAGCTTTTTGTAGTGTCCGAAACTTTCCTCTTGAACAGCTTTCTTCCTTGAAAGTTCAAGGAGGGTATAGGTCGACGTTTGGACATTTCGCATTTTAAAAGTTCAAAAGCGCAAAACTCCTTCAGTGATACATCAGAAGATTTACTAGGGATATGAGTGAAGAATATGGCCTTGATACTCGTTTCTTGTTCCATTTTTTCTAGGGAATTAACAGTGGATTTTGATGTGTGGCTGCTTGCTTAGTCTTAATACAATTCTACTGATTGATGGCCCTGTGGGTAAACAGAAGGTATTTCACATTTGAAAACTGGGTATAGAATATGTCCCTGATAATATATGAAGTTGATATTAACATTTTCTGCACTCTCTTTGTTTTTAATTTACCGTTATATGAAAAACTAGCAATACCAGCTGATATATGAATAAATATGAATTTTGAATTACTGACATGAAGAGTAGTGTTAAATGTACAAAACATCCTGTGTAGAAAAACATTAATCACTTCTACTATGACTTTTTTCGCTTCAAATGGTATTTTTATATACCGTGAAACGAAAATAAAGATAATATATTTCTTTAGAAATATTGAGTTAAATCCGTATTTAAAAGCAACCTAAAACTGCAATAAAGCTAATATTCCCTTGAACTTTATTCATCAAGGCACAGTTAATACTGACCATAAAATATGTCTCCATACGAAATGTTTAGTAATAAGTTTGTTTAATTATACTAATATTTATTTTCTTTTCTTTTCTTTTTTTTTTTTTTTATAGATCCTGTATTAATGTATCCTGTATATCTGATGCTGGTCGTAAAGCCAATAATTTTCGACAAACAAAATTGGATAACTCCTCTGATAAGTATGTCAAGACTTGAAATCATTACACTTTAAAACATGTTTTTTATGCTTTAAAGCATTATGTCATACACATTTCAAATAATGTCTTACAAAGTTTAAACCCTTCTAAAGCACTTAGCAGTTTTCTAATATTTTCATTTCAAATTATTGCGTTACAGTACTTTTTGAAGCTGTAGAGACATCAGGTATTTTTTTGGAAGCAGACAAGATGAAAAATGAGCAATCGCCTTCGCCGGGAATCGAACCACGGACCTCTGGAATACCTTCCCAGCGTGCAGACCACCACACCACGAAGGCTCGCTAAGAAGGCGGGTGAAATACCTTATATACTCTCCCTTTTAAAGGGTGACTGGGGTTTTTAGAGTACCCAATCGCCAAATCCTGGATGAGGAAAATCATCATTCAACACCCTTTTAGTTCGGGTGACACTGTAGAGACATTAGGTATTTTTTGGAAGCAGGAAAGATGAAAAATTAGCAAAGCCTTCGCCGAGAATCGAACCGCGGACCTCTGGAATACCGGCCCATCGTGCAGAACCATTAAGCCACGAAGGCACGCTAGGAAGGCGGGAGAAATACCTTATATACACCCCCTTTTAAAGGGCGATTGGAGTTTAGGGGACCCAATCGCCAAATCCTGGGTAAGGAGAATCATCATTACTATTTACTTTTTCACATCATTACTATCATTATTACAATCATCATTACTTTACAGTGACGCCCTTTTAGTTCGAGCGCCACTGTAGAGACATTAGGTATTTTTTGAAAGCAGAAAAGATGAAAAATGAGCAATCGCCTTCGCCGGGAATTGAACCACTGACCTCTGGAATACCGGCCCAGCATGCAGACCAGCACACCACGAAGGCTTGCTAAGAAGGCAGGAGAAATACCTTATAAAACATAGTATTGCAATATATTGTTGCGTGCCAGGCAGTTCGCAGCAAATTCCCGTATAAGTAAATAGAATTGCAGGGAAATCCTTCTACTTTACTGCAACTGAACAGTAATAATTAATGCCAGTGATGAAAAGAAAGCTATTAGAATACCAAAAGATGTAGCCAAAATCATGTTTCGCACAAGAGAAAATACTCTCAGAATAAGTTTTCAAAATATAGAATCATCTGCTGTCAAAACTTCACAATACGAGAGTTCAAAAACGCGTACGTGAATTGCAGACTCGCTCACAGAACTGAAGCTGTTGAGTATCTTACATTGAATTCAGAACCTAATTCAAAACTGAATTTATTGAAGAGTTTTGTGTGTTCGTGAATGTGTTTCTTGCTGAGAAGGAAAAAAAGAAATAAAAAGAAACCTGTAAACTAAAGCCTTCTCCTATGATACTTTAAAAATTAACAACTACGCTTAAGATCAATTAGAATTTTCTTCTGAGAAATCTTTTCAAAACCTATAGAAAGCATGAACAATGATTACATTATTAAATTCATAAAATTGATAATCATACTTCTTTATATTTTTACATTTAGGTTGTATATATATAGACAGAAAGATAGATATTTGTGAGCGTGATTGTTTAATATCTCTTTGTTTACTCTTTTTGTCTGATTTCAAAATCTGAAATAAATTTAAAATTATATAACATTTAAATTTTCGTGATTATTTTGGAAATAAAGGATTTGGGCAAATTTTATGATTCTAGCTGAATAATAAGAGTTATGTTCATTTTATCAATATTTTTACTTTTTCACATGATTGCATTTATTAACAGTACCTTTATTTTATTTCAGTTCACCATGGAAGGTGAGTGACCACCTCAAAAGATCTGAAACATCCTTCAGTGAAAAGCACTTGCTATCATCAACTGACAGCGACCTGTCATCCGTAAATTCTTCTCCTACCCACGAAGTCAGTACAACGACAGAAAGCAGCGCTTCTGTCGTGGATGGGGACACAAGCAGAGCTCACCTTCGTCATGTTATACTTCTCATTCTATGCTCTATATCTATGGCTGTGGTAAGTACCGTTGTATGTTATTCAACTGTGCACTTTTTAAGAACAACTTCCAAAATACCGTATATTTCAAAATCCTCGGAAGCTTTCACAATACAAACTTGTAAGGAATCAAGGCATTTTTCCTATGGACTTCTTCAGTGCAATGTTGAAATTTTAAATAATTTAGGCTGCTTTTGGGGTGAATATAAGTTAAAACTCGCGTGTTACTCCGAACATCGTGGTTTAATGCAAGAGAGATACGTATCACAAGTTCCAGATCATCAATGTAATGGATATTACATCGGTCCGGTAAACTAAAAGCAGTGTAAGTTTAAGTACCCGTAAGGACAAGATCAGTTTTATCTCACTTTACGCTATCTATAAGTATCGTTCAAATGAAAATAATATTGCTGTAATAATTCCGCCATTTGAAGAGAAAGATGACTGCGCTTGCATCTATAGAGGGCGCAGAGTGCTGGGAGTGCATGCGATATCGTCAGATCCCGCCAGATGCGTGTGTGATAGCGTCGGAGCACGTTAAAAGACATGGTTCGTATCGTTGATGCTTCCAAACGGTGTCAACGCTCGGTCGTGTAATTTTTAACAGCGGAAAATGTGAGTGCTTCTTAAATCTATTGTCGAATGCAAAATGTGTATGGCATGACGTGTACGAAACGCAGATCGGTATTCCAATGATATAGGGATTTTCTAACGACAGGACATGACCTGGTCTAGTGCATGTGGTAATGACCCAGAAGCAGTTGCAGATGTGGAACGTCTCATGAAAATGAATCGGCGAATACCGTTCGAGAAATAGCGGAGGAAATGTCTATGATCACAGGACGATACCGCAAGGTTTGCGCGCAATGGGTGTCAAAACATTTCACAGAGGAGCAGAAGATTTATCACATGTCTGTTTCCATGCAACACTTTATGCGGTAGGGGAGAAAGAGAGAGAGAGAGAGAGACATGGGCTCTATCCCTTTACCAAACGGTTAATTAGTATAGCAACACGTCCACCACTATATATAGTACCCCTTCGACGTTTATGGCAGCAGGAGAATTTACGCTGTCTGACATAATTTCAAGCCCAGAGCAGACAGTTTGTCCATTAAATTGACAATCTTTGTAACCAGATATCTCTGCTTTGTGATAAATTTGCAGAAAGCCTGCCTGCTGGTACTTGGCAGCTGAATATGAAGATCAGTTATCAATGGACAAGTGGTCAGGTAATACTCTGGGGACCCAATATCTCCGCAGCAGCAGAACTCAGTATGGCTGAATCGAAGTTTTCAAAATATTGCGGAAATTGCCAGTGATAAATCGGACGAGCTGAAGATTGGAAATGATACGGTCAATGTCCACATACGCTATGTGATACTGCGTTTGTCGACCGGTTGAGCCCTGGTCCCATTCCTCTTGCCACCGTCCAATAGCCTTCAATCTCAGGCATTTCTTTAGATAAGAAATGGGCCATGGGATATTGACTTGAGTATCTACATTGCCTGAAACTGCCTCTTTGGCTAAAGTGTCTGCCGTTTCATTTCCGTAATGCCCAGCATGGGCTTTGATCCACTCAAGTTTAAGCTAATGGAGAAAGTGCTCTCTTAGATCATACTGAATGTTTTGTATGATGGGAGATGGATGGTCAGGATTACCCAGAGCATGCAACGACAATAGACTGTCTGTCTTTATAACTTGTTTTTTAATGCCGTAAGTTATTAAGTAGCGTAAGGCTTGTGCAATAGCAATTGCTTCACCTTGGAAGACTGAATTTTGAGAGTGCAGTTGACCTTTCCTATGATGTGTAACTATATGGAGCATGGAATAACGACACTCCCCACGCCCGAAGAAGGCTCGCATGTCCACTATAGCTGGTAAAATCATGTTAACGTGCTTGACGTCGATGGCCCACTACTGTTGAAATGGCTACGTGCACGACTGTTGCTTCTTTGGCTACGTCGGATAGATGCATATACGGGGAATTCAGAGACCCTGAACATTACATGTTTCAGTGTCCGCTAACGTCAGCCCATCACATTCGCTATCCCACCGACACTGGAATAGAATTTAGGAGTTTCATTATTAAGCGCCGTAAAGTTTTCCAAAACATCAAAAATATTATTGATTTCTTACACCGCCAAGGACTGGACCTGTGTCATCCATAGCTTACAACCCCAAATAATCCTCTAAGTTCATAAAACGCAACAATAAGAATATCCACTCTCACCCTCATATTATACAGGAGTGTCTTTAGAAAACACACTTAACTATATCCATTTATTGAGACAACCATAACTTTTCTCATACTACGAACTATAAACTACTTCATACTGTGCAATGTGTGAAAGATGCACCAGTACTATGTACTCAACACTATGTACCATGAAATAATTCATAAACTGTATGCTGTATTATGAACTGCACTATGAATGAGAACTTATAAACTGTGAATCGTGTAATAAAAAAAACCAAACAAACAACGAACCACATACCATAAACACTCAAACCCGCCAACGAAGCTCCAAACCGAAACACAAAAGAAATATGTATATACATCTGTAAATAACTTATTGTAATTATTCATTGTAATTATTGTATCTATCTATCCAACTGCAAAGTACCCGTGTAAAGTATATCTGAGACAATATTGTCTGCAATGCAAATTATGCACCATTAATATATAACTGTGTATTATAAATGCTGCAATGTAAACTAATTCCCGAGCATGGTGTTAGCGTGCCCGGTCAGGGTACACTTCTATAGATGGTTAGTGCAGTGGGGCGATACCAGTTTTGCCCATGGCGATGTTTTGGTGCTCCTGTACTTCTTTCTGTCTGTCTGTCGCTTCTTCCACGTACTGTGACACATTGCAGAAACTGAGACAGAATATCAAGAACCGCCGACGTGGCATGTTGTCACGCAGGGTTATCCTCTTCCATGATAATGCTCGTCTTCATGTGGCTGTGGCGTGCCAAATATTGTTGCGGTAATTCTGCTGAAAGATTCTCGAACAATCCCCCCTTATAGCCCGGACCTCTAGCCGTGTGACTACCATAGCTTAGGTCCACTCAAGAAATCTTTGACAGGAAGGCAATTTGCCGACGATAATGAGGTCCAAGCTGCCGTTGAAACCTGGCTTCACGACCATCCCCGGAGCTTCTTCCCGGGGTATCCATCGTCTCGTTGACCGCTAGGACACTTGTTTCAACCTACAGGATGAACTTTGTCTAGCCTATCTGTTACGTCTGTATTACTTCTTTCTTTTGTATACTAATTTACATTAATATCATTAAACCATTTCTCAAAGCGAATGTAGTGCCACTTTCATTTGAACGACCGTTATAAGCAAAGCCTGAAATAAAAAAATAGCATATAATGCTTCCTCACCGAATTGGAACTGTTGGAGTTGTTCCGACCTTCTTTCATCTTTAGGTGTAGAAGAATGCATAAAATGAATGCTCCTACGCTTACTTATGGTAAGTATAATAAAAAAACTGATTGACAACCCAGAGGCCGATCCAACCAGAGTTCAAGTCCGGGCCTATCCTCGAGTTTCTTTCAATCCAAACTTTATCTAAATGGAACTAAACTCAATTTCAAATAATATTTTCAGTTAAAATATAATTTAGTTTAAAACAAATGAAAATATAATTTAGTTCAAAACAAATGGTAATACTATAAGGTATTTCTCCCACTTTCATAGCGTGCCTTCGTGGTATAGTGGTTCTGCACGCTGGGCCGGTATTCCAGAAGTCCGTGGTTCGATTCCCGGCAAAGGCGACTGCTCATTTTTCATCTTGCCTGCTTCCAAAAAATGCCTAATGTCTCTACAGTGGAGCCCGAACTAAAAGGGTGTTGAATGAGGTTTCTCCACTCCGAGGATTATTGGGTCCCCTGAATACCCCAGTCGCCCTTTAAAAAGGAGAGTTTATAAGGTATTTCTCCCACTTTCAGAGTGTCCCTTCGTGGTGTAGTGGTTCTGCAGCTGGGACGGTATTCCACGGTATTCCAGAGGTCCATGGTTCGATTCCCGGCGAAGGCGATTGCTCATTTTTTATCTTGCCTGCTTCCAAAAAATCCTAATGTCTCTACAATACATTAATTTAATTTTACTATTCTTCTGCAGGAAAATTGTAATTTTCCCAGTAAATTATGATTCTTTCATAGTTTATTAAAAAGTCAGTTTATTCTCGGTTAATTCCTTTAGATTAATGCAAAATAAAGGTAAGATCATTCAAACGAAAACTTTAGTTTTTAGGAGGCCGACAAACTTGCAATAAAAGATACAGAAATTGTTCAAAAGATATCTATAAATTATTCTTACCATTCTGCAAAACTATATATTCGTAAATTTTTTTAACGAAAATGGAGAGGTGAACTCATGACTCGTGTCTCAACTAAAAGCTGGAGAGAATGTTGGAGAAGAAATTACCAGACAACCACGGGGAAAGGTTGTGGCCAGTTTTAGGCTTGAAAATGGTCATGACTGCTTGGCGAGCCATCTCGATCATCTTGGTATTCTTAGCAGCCCAAACTGCCCACTTAGCGGTTTAATTGAAAAAATGGATAGGACGCACATTAGAAGATATCCGGCGCTGGGTGGAGCCTCTGAGGTGAAGCGGTATTGGAAAGTTAGAGAGCCCGATTACGAGATATTGATATTTTATGTTATATCTTCGCAGAGTTTTGTTCTATTTGTATAATGTTTATTTTATTCTTTGCCATTGGCGATAAAAAATATCTTTTCCTTAAAACAGACAGACATTAAATTCAGGAAGGCATATGTTATTCTAAATAAATGCTTTGGATGTGAAAGGAAAGTTCAGCTTACTTCTCTCTAGAAAGCTATTTCATAAGCTATAAGGACAGTAAAATAGAGGATTTCGCGAGTTAATTAACAGTTACTAGCTGAGTTACATGGTTTATATGGGTACGCATTGATCGGCTTTCATTTGGATAATAATGCAGCTACTCTAAAAGCCAAACTAAAAGGAATTTTTTAAATGCGAAGATATTTACTATGTGTACGAAATTTACGTTTGACGCAGAGATATTTACTGTGTGTACGAAATTTAGTTTGATTTTCTCAGGCAGCATTGGTATTCTAGGATACAAAAAATATATATATATATTTCCTACCTGTAAACCTCAGACTGCAGTCTAACACTTCAAACGGAGACTTATCATTCAAACTTTCCAAAACAAATGTTTAAAAATATTGCAGTACATAAAACTATAAACATTTTTCAAAAACTGCAATCTACTCTTCGTATTCAGATTCTCATTTAATGCCTAAAATAATTTTAATCTGAACAACTGCCATTAGGAATTAATCCTCAGAAATCCAGGACACAAACGGTGAAACCATATGTTTAAAACACGGTATTCAGAATAGCAGGGCCAAACGATAGAATAAGAAAAGAGTTTTGACATTATTTCATCACAGATTAATGTTAAGCACAGATTTTATAATTATTTAGTAAAGAAAAGATGTAATCAATCAAGAGGTATGTAGATGTGCATAATTTTTTTCATAGGATCGCTTGCATGAGAGGTTTCAATAAATATTTCTTACAAGAGAAGTGACTTTCTGCTTGTCTAAAATCGTCGAAATAAAAAAATTAAAAAATAAATAAATAAATAAATAAATAAAAAATAACATTTTCTTCATAAAATTTCAAAGAAACTGTGAATTGATATCAGTCATAATCAGAAAAGAAAACAAATGAAATCCATAATAAACAACAGAAAAAATAATAAATGCGGAAAAGAGAAATTTTAAGCAGGGAAGAGAACCCAAATTTATAATGTTGAAAAATCAGTTAAGATTCTTAAATTATTGTTAAACGTGGATATATATTTAGGTGGTGTGGTGTGGTGTATTTAATTATGGCAAAGCACACTAGGGCTATCTGCCTAAGGGGAGGGATGCCTTTCGTGGAGGACTTTCTAAGGGAAACTGGCTCGTATACACGTTACACATGGGGAAAACCACGAAAACGCCCATGCAGCCAGCCCGTTCGCGGGATTCGAACCTCGGACCGAACTACCAGTGTTCAGCGTCTTTACCGATCGGCCGCTGGTGGGCTCTATATATTTAGGACTGCAATTATCGATAATATTGACCTAAATGCAAAACTATCTAAACAGATTTTTAAATTTCTATGATAAATATACTAGTATACTGAAGTCTCATACTTCATAAACACCTAAATATCTTCTGAATAAAATCATTAAATCTTCTTTTCAAATAACCTATTTAATGACAATGAAAACCTAATTAAATATGCCTAAAATGCGGCATTTTCCAAAAACTTGAAAGCGAAACGGAATATAATTTTTCCTTTGTTAAAGAACATATAGAACTACTGTTCCTATAATATTTGATTTTTGTTTTAAACTTGCACCCTAAAATAGTTATCATAAAAAAAAAAAAAAAAAAAAAAAAAAAAAAAAAGAAGAGCCTTTAATGAATCAAGTTTATGTAATTTCAAGATTCAAAATTTGAAAGAAAAATTAAGTATTATCTTACGCTTTCCTGAAGGATAACACACTGCTACGTGAAAGATATGAATATTTTAATTCGGGCATTGGCAAGACATTCGTTTAAAACGTTGATTTTGTTGATTAAATTCCACATGTTGCCAAATGGTAATACATTTATATATGTCTGAGATTCCTGATTAAATATGAAACACAAACACTTTGCCCATTGGCAACAGAAAGCCATTATATTTATATTGTTGAGTTCTTTAAATTTGCTCATATAAAATAAATAAATAATAAGTTCGAAATTAAAAATTCAAGCTTCGAGATGCACTCTTTCGAGTGGAAGACTATGTGTGTTCAAAATTTGGTGGCTCTACGTGCCGCCGTTTTTACACAATACCAAGAACACACATACGTATAATAATATACATTCATATGTAGAGATTTTTCCTTATTTAATAATACAGATAAATGATAGTTTATGAACCAAGAAAAATTTTAAGTGTTAAAACTTTTGTTTTTTGTCGAAAATAAATAACTGTATTGAAAAGTAATGAATACAGTAATTTTTAAGTTTCATTCAATTCTTAGTTTCATTCATTAAGAAAAGAATGTAACTAAGAATCAAACCGAAAATGCGCAAAACGTTCAAACTAAAAACCAAAACTAAAATGCTCTGTTTAATTATATGGTATTTGTGCTATTTCAGAGGCACGATGATCTGTACTACTACTAAGGACATGTAGTATGACCAAAGAATCTCTTTGGTATGACTATTTACATGCGTACCAACATACTCGTGTAAGAGGGAATAGACAACAATAGTGCTGCCATCTACCGTTACGTTTTAGACATAAAAATCACAATTGACTAATTATAGTAGCAGTAGCGAAGTGCATGATGGAGTGCTACTATAATAAAAATATATCTATAATATAAACAAATAAATAATAAACCTTTCAAATCTCAATTGAAAAATTTCCACAGCACTAAATCATAAATATCCTAATTTAGAATTTTTTTAAATGTTATTCACTAATAACTTAAGTATTGGCCTAAACTGCATCTGCTTGATTTAATGTTGTCTTTATTAATTTGTTCAGATAAACTAAATAAGTTCTTATGATATTTTTCTTGCTTTTTTTTCTCTATTTAAATAAGGCTGTGAGTATGAAATATAATCTGATAATGCCTATCTCGAATATACTAAAAAATATCTCCTGAATATCTGGCATTATCAGAAGATTTAGGATTAGACTAGAATTAGAATTTAGATTTAGAATTGTTTTAAAGATGATAGCAGTCAATATTTTTAATGTTTAGAGTTTCAGAAGAACCAGTTTAAGCTTTTGATAAATATATGAACGGTCATATAGTGGTTATTACATAATTTTAGGGCAAAATTTCTAGTGATAATAAATATTTTAAGCAAATAATATTTGTTTCTCAAATACTCAGTCTGATGGTCATTTCTCTAAATTATCAACCTCCAAACTGGCTTTAATTTTCTCCTCTCTTCTGCTGCATTACATAGTCAATCTCATGCTTTAGATTTTTTGTTTTTAAAAAGCCTCCTTTTTCACTTACTCCAGACACACAAAAGGCGAATCTGAAAGTTTTAGATATTTTTTTAAATATCGAAGAAGAATATTCCTGTTTGGAAGTTAAAAAAAAAAAAAAAAAAAAAAAAAAAAAAATACTTCCAATCCAAGTCTTGTCTACGTGCACCGTTTTTAATGTAAATAATATTCAATTACATCAAACAATGAATATGGTTCAAAATAATAGGCTACTGCAAGCAATGTTTTTTGACATTTCACGCTTTTATCGTATTTTTGTCTTCGGAAAAACCCCTTTAGTGCAACTGTATTTCCTATGTTTTTAGGAAAATAACAAATATAGACTTAAAAAGTGGGAAAACCGTTGTCTTTGTAAAACAGATGCATGATTAATTTCCGTAGCGGCTTACAAAATGTGTATTTCTGTATAAAAATATTTTATTATATTGAGTTTTAAGATGTGACTTATTCTGCTAATGCACACAGTTAAACTTACATAGTTTTCTTTCTTCAGGGCCTTACAATAAGTACATGGAAGTTATCCACAAATCAGCCGAATGGCCTGTTTGTAGCAATGGAGTTCCTAGATGCTGTTCTAAATGTTGGTCAGGTAGGAAGACAATTTTCTAATAATAATTATTCATTCACAGTATGATCAAATCAACGTAGCGGTTAAAACAAGCGAATATCATGTCAAAATGTTGTTCTAGATGTCTATATGAATAATTTGGAATGTTTGTGGATGGACATCTGAACTGCATGCCATATTAAATTAGTCTGTCCAAAATTCTCTGTTAAAAAATGAAGATGATGTGCTTAGCCAAAATCAAAAACATTTGTTTGTTTAAATTTCCTTCGCCTCAAAACACGAGAACAAATATCACCATCATTGCGAAAAAGAGAAATTGTCAGTTAAAAACTCAAGCTCCTTTCCTTAACTTCACAAGCAGTCTCTAGGCTGTTATGCACATTATTTAACAAATCATTAGTACTCTCCAAAAGGCATTGCAAACATGTTTTACGTAAATTGCCTAGTTTTTCTTCATATCCATTAAACTAAAAGAATAATGTGACGATTCATCCCTTGAAAAGGCATTAATATCCTGCGAATTTTATTACCTTGAAAAAGAATTTTTTTCTATTAAAATTAACGTAATCCTTTCAGTTACTTTAAAAGTAATTAAATTTTAGTGAATACTTAGTTTAAAATTATAAGACTTTCATATGTTATTCTTGTTTAACATTTAAATAAACTTTATTTGATATTTAAAATAAAGGTCATCTATTAATTAATTAATTAACTAAAAGTAACTTGAAAATATTTTTAAATGTTTCAATTATTATCTCAAAACATTATTAGTGTCATTCGTTTCTTACCGAGATCAATATTTTCTGATATTGTAAATCTAATCTGGGCCGATCTGGGAAGAGGTTTATTATAAAATCACTTTATAGAATAGAAATACACTTTTCTCTGATGATATTTTAATTACGTATTTCTCTCCATTCCTTATTTTTATACAGTTTTAGAGTGGAGAAAACATGCGTATCACATTCAGAAAATACACCCATTTAGCATTCTTGGGTAAGAAAAAAATATTGAATAAAACCTTTTTATTTAGATCACGCATATCTTTGCGTAATTATTTCGAACAGAAAATCATAGCACTAAAGTCCTTACTATACCAATGAGACATTTTTTTTTTTTTTTTTTTTTTTTTTTTTTACATATTCCAATCGCTTGTGGCACCAGACCACAGAGAAAAGCAATTACCTTTTGACGGATCATTATCAGAAAACTCTTTCCAGCCAAGATTGCAAAATGATCAATTTCTATCTAAGAAAAGTTCATAAAGGTTGCCCACATAGCACAAAACATCCTTGGTATATCCTGAGGATGTTTCTTGCGGGATATTCGCACATGCTCAGGCCATCCCGGAATACCCCCCGAACCTCCTAAACACATCCTCCCGAGTGCTTAATGTCACATCCCAATATATCCTCAGGACATCCTAACAAAATCCCATCGACAGCGTACGGGATGTTATTTGGATCTGAACTCCTACTTACTACATCCTTAGGACATCCCGGGATATCCCACTAACCTCCTAAATACATCCCATTATATCCTAAGAACATCCTATTTATGTCCCATCGACAGCGTATGGGATGTTATAAGGATTGAAAGTCCTACTTACTACATCCTCAAGATATTCCGTAATATCCTAGTTTCCTCCTAAACTCATCCTCCCGAGTGCTTAATGTCCCAGTATATCCTTAGGACATCTTATTTAGGCCCCACCGACAGCGTATGGAATGTTATCAGGATTTGAAATTACTAGTTACAATATCCCTTTAACCTCTTAAATACATACTCTCAACTGCTTAATGTTACATCCCAGTATATCCCTAGGAATCTTCTTTATATTCCAGTGAAAGTGTATGAAGGTGTTCTAATAACTTAAAACCTACTTATTTTCTACAGATAGTCTCAGGTCCTCCATCAGTGGTTACTATGGAAAAATAAGAAATGTTAATATTTATACAATTTATTTTTCTAATATGAATTTAAATTTATTTAATAATTTGTAAATAAATCTAAAACCGAGCAAGGGACTTGAAATGAATTATTAATACAATATATTATAAAAGAAAATTTTGCTTTAAAATATTAAAAATCTTTCGATCATTTTTAACCCTTCAATTGCCCAAAACTGAATTCTTCAATATATTCATAATTAAATTATTCTACAAATTCAGTTCTGACTTCGGTTAATTTGTATTCAAAATTCAATAATAAAATTAAGCATTTAATAACCTTTTAGTAGTGAACCAGATGCGTGTAAATTTTGAAATTCTGAACTTAGTCGGTTACGTTGATTGAATCATTATCGATGGCTACAATACGATTGAACAGTTCATGAGTTTGTCTTGCTATTTGCTGTAATGGAGCAGAAGATTTTCTAATCAATTTTTTTATAGAAGACATATAGCTTTCAAATTTAAATGCACTGTAATTATCAAACGGCCCAAACATTTTTACATCTTCGCAAATATGCAGTAGGCCGTGAACGTGATGAGAAATATACCGTTTTCGATAATAAAGCACAACATTTATTACGAAGAGATTTAATAGAGACTGTGCGTATTCATGAATCTCTGTCTGATTCTGTATTTCGCATAAGAGTTTAATCGAAATATAAGGTAGTAAAAAATGATCATATAGCTTTTTTTTTAAAACTTTCTTAAAAAAATAACTGGGCTAGTGTACAGTAAAAATTGACGGTATTCTTTCTAGTGTTTTAATTCTTTTAGAATCCTTGGTTTTCTTGCAAATTCAATTGGTACATAAGGCTTTAAAAACTGGTCAATTTTTTAAAAATTAGTTCAACATTTTTATGTGGTAATCGTGCTTGTAAGCTACCTCCGCCTATCCAAATAGTAATCATTCTTCGTACTACTCCTAAGTACGCAAGGCGAATAAAGTCTAACGGAATATTTATTAGTCCTATCTTTGGAATATTCCTTAAAATGGGATAATCGTTGTGGTAATCGTCATCAGTCAGTTCTTCTTGAGACATAAAAAATCGGTATTTTGACGTAGTACACCAACGGATCCTGGAAAACATATACTGTTGTTAACATACTTAACAACAATCTAGGCATATGTTTCTTTTAAACATCCTACTAAAATTCACATCTGCAACAACCATTGAAACTGGTGCTGTACCTACCACAACTTTTGATGCGATAAAATAAGGCTAGCGTTTTCTTTCAGAATGATATTTTTTTAATGAAAAGGTTTTTACTAATTACAAAGAGTTCCAGTTAACAGTTACCATGTTTTTTAATAGATAGGAGGCAAAAGTATGAATCGAAGGCATGCAAAAACTTCTGTACGTTAACCCCTTAACTGCCGCGGGCGTATATATACGCCTTGCTCAGCCGATGTGTTAACTGCCCCAGGCGTATATATACGTCCTTCCAAACTGCTATCATTTGCTTTGCGCTGCTACACCTAAAATTATTCGCAAAGTTAACGCATCGGCTGCGCATCTGGGCATATCTGGGGCAGTTAACGCATCGGCTGAGCAAGGCGTATATATACGCCCGCGGCAGTTAAGGGGTTAAGTGCCTCATTGCCATGGTAGTTTATAAGAAATAAAATCCTAAGCTGTATACTTTTAGAGTTTCGTTCAACTAGCTACTTTCGGTCTTTTCTTATTGTTAAACGTGGATCTGTTAACTAAAATACTTTCTAATCACAGATCTATGGAACTTAACTAACAGCCATTGTGCACGCCTAAAATATCACGGCAAGTAATAACTTGCAATAAAAATGATTTCACAAAAAAACTAAAAACATTTATTCAGCTAAAAATCAGTAGTCGCCTGTGATTTTAACCAGCATGAGTGCCAATTAAGAAACTGCAGTTTTTAACTTTGTTTGTTCGTAACCTAAATTTGCATAAATTTTTTATTTGAGTGAACTATCCTGACGAATGCCAATAAGAGATAGGATAATACGCAACTTAAAGCTTAACTGGTTAATGAAACATAAAGTAATTGTCACACTAGATATTCTTTCCTGGCCATATCTCGTAATTACATATTGAACTCACAATAGTAACTGAAAAATTAACATTAGATATTGATATTTTGTGTTTCATTTTCAGGGACTTTTTGTGTTCATGGTTTTCATAAAAGACAACAAATATATATTGACACCAGTAACAAAATGGTAAGTATTCACTTTTTTACTATATGTGCTCGTTTTCTCGGCTAATGTAGCACAACTGATATCATAGACATCACATAAATAAGAAATAAACACACTGAAGTTCAGATTATCTGTGCTAATTACTGCACCGTAATGTACGGATAATTCTGAAAACCACATAATCTCCAAGTGATATACCTCTAAAATACCAAACCTATACCTCTAAAATTGTAATTAATGCACAAGCATTCTAAAATACATTTTACTCTTCAGAAGTTTTAAAGGAGAGATGTACAAAGTACTGATGACAATTTAACTGAAATAATAATAAAATGTGTATACATTTAAAATTTTTGTTCTGAAAATAAGATTGTTGTATTGCTTTTCTGGGAATCGCACTGCCATTCCTTCCATCACTACAGAAAGCACTGTGCAGAACTAAAATATAGTTAAATTTGAAATCTATTACTCACCCACATAGCTAACAACGTTTCTAATATATAATCTCACCGTATCCACCCTATACTGTTAAGTTATTAAATGCAATGTTCTACCATTTAAATTAGCTAAACGTAGCACAACCGAAATGAAAGCCAAGCAAAAACATTCATCAACACATTTCCTTAACAATTACACAAACTTAAATTAACACAAATAAAAAATCAGACGGTTTGGGGATAGAATGAAAGCTTGTCAACATGAATTCAAAACGACTATAATGTACAATATCAGCTAAGCATAACTAAAATCTTAGTCAATCCCTGCGACTAATCAATTGCGAAGAATCAAAGTTGGCAAATTTTTGCTGAGATGCTTATGCAAACAGTAGAAACTTTTAAGTAAAGTAAGTTGCCAAATGTCCTATGATTTACTTTGTAACTAACTTTGTACTAATTTAAATTTGAAGTTAATTTGGACTCTAGCGGTAGCTGATGGAAGCTGAAGCGTAGAAAAACCAAAATGAAATTATAATTCATTAGTTAAAACCTTTACAACCGTGCTATTTTGATTTCATTTTTTCAATTTTTACGCTCATTTCCACTGTCTGTTCTTGACTCCCTGTATCCAGAATTTATTAGATTGCTAATATTAATGATGGAACATTCGAATCCTTGAATTCTACTAATTTTGAAAAATGAAAAGTAATTCTAAAAAACTGAGATTGGAAAACTTAAATCCTTGTGCTTTCTTCAACATTTCGATCTTTCGAATGGAGCACAAATAAGCTTTAAACATTTAGATTTTAAATTTTTGAGAGACTTATTTTATGGGCATCTAGTGGAAGCGTTTATATATATATATATATATATATATATATATATATATAAACGCTGCAATTTTAGTGGTATCTGCATATCAGCCTGGTGGTGCTCCTGAATTACATTCTGCGAAAGTCCTTTAAAATAATGAAGTTTTTTATTTTTCTTAATTTTCAGGAGAGAGTTAAACTTTCACATTTAGTGCTGTTACTTTATACTTTAGAAATAGTCTCCCCCACCCCTTTATACTTGCTTCCATTCGAAAGGAATCAGAAGGGAAGCGAGAGAGGAAAGCCGGAAAAAGAACTGAATAAAAATTTAAACTGTTATATTTTATTTATATATTGAAAAAAGGAAACTTGTAAAGAATCAGCCAATTATTGTGGCGGAAATAGTTACCATGACAAGAAAACACTGGTTTCCCTCCTGTCTCTCTTGGGGCATTGCAAAATGCCCGTTTACAGTTAGATTCATTTTTCATTTTTTTTTTTCTTCTCTAAGCTATATCTTAACAGCATAAAAGATGCATTTTAAGGTGCATGCGTCATTGGACAAATTAAGCTAAATATAGGTATGCAGCTTTAGCGTTGTAGAAAACATGTTGCTCGAAAGTTAAATGGCTAGGTATTGAATTAAGTAACAACAGCCAGAAGTAACAATACTGCTTGAATGCATGGTTTTTAGTATACACATCTTGGATCGCTGTTTAACTATTAATTCTAACATGCCACAAAAACAGGAAAATTATATTGTACATTCTTCATTTTCTGTTAGACCTTCATGTGTTTGTTGCTGTTTATAAATAAAAATGTTTCCCAATAAGTTAAAAATGTAAGCAGGACACTGAATTGGATTAAACAAAGGGAAAAAAAAACAAGAGATATGAAAATGAGCGTTAACTTATTATCTAACACTACACATATGCAGGGCCTGGGTATCATAGCAGCCGCTCCGGGTGGCGGAATTTCGGACCCGCAAAGATTGCAACGCAGAGGAAAACTCCTTAGTGCGGGCCTTGTACATACGCAATAATAATAATAATTCTAAGGAATATTATATATTTCATCATACTAGGTTAAGATCAGATAGTTAAAAGTTAGGTTAAGGGCACCATGCCATAGTTCTTAATTACTTTGTGAAAACATTTTTACATCGTAGAACAGCTCACCATCATCGTAGCGTTTTCTGTTACACAGCGATTGAGGCAAATGATTAGAGAGATTCAGCAGAAGTTTACTCAAATATGTAATCGGCAAAGGAAGTAAAATATACTCCATCAATTCCAGGTACCACATCAGGGGGAGGGGAAATCTTATATAAACATTTAGTTAAATGCAGCGCCGTGTCAGCACATACGCACATGATAAAAGACTGAAACAATTTCCAGCGCATGATCATATTCCCAAGCAGATAAGTTTCAGAAGCTCTGGACAATCTCTGTCGATTTATTAGTGACTCATAACAGAAATTTCCGATTCAGTTCTGTATAAATAACCCTGTGAAACATTTATAGAACGACATTCCCATTATCTACTGATTGGGAGATAAGTGTTTTAAAAATGAATTAAGTCGTTCAAATTCTCATATTTCCATTCTGTATTTCTCTCTTTTAATTACAGGTTAAGAAAGGTGAGACACGGGTTTTATTCGTTGGATGGAGAAGGAGATAAAGTCGAAGCAGTTATTCAACAGTTATGCAACCAGTTTGTGAACTATCATTGGGATAATTGTAAACGAGATTTACCAAAGACGATAAAGTAATTTATTTATAGTTATAATAGTATAGAATTTTAGTAAGTTTAGGAAGCAAATTTCTTCTAATTAAATATAGTCACTAAGTAATTTATTTGAAGGAATAAATAAATATCACACATGGGAAATCGATTAATATGTTAATCCGAACTATCACTTAAAAGAATTTTGCCATTAATGGAATTCTCTGCCGTCTTATTCATTATTTTCATTTCTTTAGAAGATTCCCGTATGTCTTTTATAACAAAGATATGACCAACTTGACAAAAAAATAATTGTGTGCCTATATAGATTGGGTCCAAAGTCGATATGTTTAAAAGCAATTGAAAATGTATAATAACAGTTATATAAAATTTACAAATATCCCGATAATTTTAATTTTATTGTTTGGTTTTTCATGTGTGAGGCAACTCATGACGTTTTTACGTAGTTATGGTACTGAGAAAATAATCACCCCATTAACGGGCTTACTGAATGGGACAGGTTTTTGAAATTAAACTATTATTCAAAGAAAGTTATATAAGATATATGAAAAAGGCTCTTCAAACAAAAGCAACACTTTGTTTTAGAGTAAGATGTTTCAGAAAACTAATAACGTACTTCTTTCAAGTAAAATATCGCAAAAGTCCCGCGTAAATTTGAAAACATTGCTGAAACAAATAGAGTAATCACGTAAGGTATTTTATCCCTCCACGTTGCGTGCCTTCGTGGTGTATTTAGAAACATGTAATCAGAAGGTGCGGAGTTAAATTCCGGTGAGGGTATAACTGATTTTTTGTGTTTCGTGCTCCTAAATAAACCTAATGATTCTGAGGAATCCAAATCAAAAAAATGTGGTGGTCGATGATAATTTGTCACCATTACGATTTACCGACTGGGTCTCCTCCTCCCCATTCGTCTTTTAAGTGGCGGAGAATGGTAGACATTTTCTCTTTCCTTATTGTGTGCCTTCGTGGTATAATTGGAAGCACATCCGGCTGACAAGCGGGAGGTCCAGAGGTTAGAATTCTATGTGGGCAATGTTGATATTTCTTGTTTTCTGCTCTGAAATAAACCTAATGATTTCACAAACGTTTACTCTTCTACTCTTCATCCTATGAATATACGAGTAATTAACATTGAATATATTTTTTCTTAAAAATGAATTAAAGCTTTTAACTGATAGTGAAACATATTATAGAGTTTTCTTGTTTACATCGTGAGCAGAGCTGTAGTAAAAAGGAGCATAAATTACGCGAGTAAATATAGTACTTATATATTTTACTCGCCGAATACTCCCAAATGCTTTTCTGAGATTACGTTAAATAGGAGCAAACTTCAAAATTTTTTTGTTAACGCTAATACAGCTTTACAGCTGCGTACAGGTAATTGTTAAAATGCTCTGAAATTGTTCTTCGCTTTCAGAAACCAAAAATAAAAATTCCGATAATTTAATTACAGTCTTGTCTCTCTAATACTTTTATTCATTTTCAACAGTAATTGTTCAACAGTGCAAGCGTAACAATTGTGTTAGCATCGTATGGAAGTTATGCGGAAAGTAATCGGTGATCGTTTCACAGCGGTCTGTGTTGTAAACATTTCCAAAAATAAAAAAATTATCTAGGGCAGTTTTTTTGCTAACTGATTTGAAAAAACGCCAAAAACTGTACGCCTTTCTTTTAAATGTTCTATTCACGAATGTGCTTACAGTTAGAATTTTGCTGTCTTTAAACTTTCTATTCTATTACGGGCTAGTTTTAAGGAAAATGCTAAAAGTATTTTATTTATATTTTTATTTTACGAACGAAACAAAATGTTTTTATATTTTTACCATCTTTCCATTCTGAAATATTTCAACTGCAACTCCCGCATCATCTTTTACTAATGAATTCTTTTGAATTTTTTAACTAATAAATTCCTTTCCTTTTTTACTAATGAATTCTTTTGTATATAAAGAAATGTAATTAATCCCTAAAATTTCTTTAGCTAATGAATAAATAACTACTTTTCTTTACTCTTACTTTTTCTTTACTTACTGGTTTTCGCATCAAAAAAATTAAACGGAATTAAAAATGAGCATAAAACGTCCATTTCTAATAAACATTAAATACATTACAAGGGATTCCTTTTAATTCAAACTCTTAGGAAAAGTAAAAAATGTTTAAATTATCGAGTACGTGCCAGAAATTATTTCGTTTTAACTGCTATTATAATAACTTCAGTATTTCGAAAAAAAGATATTTTTTTGCACACCATTTCTTCACTGAAACAAATTCATTAAAATATATAAATTCAATTAAATTAGTAACTGAATTAAATCACTTACTTACTGAAATACGAAACATTTTTAGATAATTTTAATAACTTTTCGTATAAAAATTCGGAACAGGAATTGGCTAAAGTAATTAATGTACCCAAAATATTTTTCGAAACATTTCTTACACACAGTAATACCTCGGTACGCACGCTATTAATCCATTTGAGATCCTTAAACGGATACCTAACGGACTTTTCGAATAAGAAACAAGAAAAAGTAATTAATTCGTTTTTTTTAAACAAATCTCATTGTTATTATAACAATTTTCGTTTTTTACAATCCTAGACACCAACCTACTCGGCGTATGGTAGGCTATAACCAAATAACGGAAAGCGCAGTATTGACTTATCAAACTCGAGTCATAGTCCAAACAAAACTTTCCATGTCCGAAACGGAACGTACGCAAGTTCGAAGTATTTCAAACGGGCGTATGCCGAGGTATTAAATACCATTGTACTCGAACTATAACTATTCCGACTCTAAATAATTATGAAATTTCACGCAGAGATTTTTTTTTTTTTTTCCCGTTCGTAAAATCCGCTTTGGTATGGAAATTTATTTAAAAAATTAACGAGAAATTTATAATGGATTAAAAAAATCTCAGTTACAATAAAATTTAAAAGGTAAAAAGATTTTAAATGAATATAAAAATAAAATTAGGCTAAATTCAGTCTTATGATCGTGCTGGTATTACACCGAATTGCATCGATTTTTAGATAGTCAAACAAAGAAGTCTCTCTTTTGTAATGAGCACAAGTGTTCTGGCAAACGAAATCGAGTTTAGTAACCGAAAAATTAACCGAATAAAGTTTTTTTTTATAAAAACAGTATCGATATCAGTAAAGTTATGCAGAGATATTGCCAATTTCGCAATGTGTCCGGTTCAATAAAAGTGTTGCCCTAAAGGCACTTCACGTCAAAATATTTCAATTGATATTCTCTAAAGAAACAATTTAACAAATGTTGAAGAGAGAAGGATCAAACTAGAGTCCTAATGAATTGGAATACGAGATTAAAATCATAGTAGAGATAAAAATAGATGCACAAAATACAAACAAAAAATTCAAATAGAGACAGAAAAACACTATATACAATATATACAAATACAGGTGCATGCGTAGAGTTTACGTTGGAAAAATTATTAATCTTTTAGAAGATGTGGAGCATAAGGACGTATTCTTTGTCCTCTTGTAGAATTTCGCATTGAAATAAGTTAAAATTCATGAGATGATTACAAGAAGTAAATTTTTTTGTAGAAATTTCTACTGCTTTTGTTAAGAAACTTATCAATAGTTTCAATACTGAGGTCCTCGTGCAATTTTTGCGGACGTCAGGTCATTTTTGGTAACAGCATTTAAGCCGGTGAAATATAGGCAAGGACTGGATGCACAAGTATGATACAAATGAGATACTTCTTTCTGAAGTCTAATTTGGAATAATTGCTAATAAATAGAAAAAGGCAGTTGATGACTTTTAGTGTTTTAATTTTAACATTTTCGATGTGATCCTTCCAGTCACGTTTGCTTCTGAAAGTGATACCAAGATGTTTTGCTTTGCGAATAATTTAATTTCATCAAAAACGACCAAGTATTTTTAGCTAAAGTGTTCATGTGCTTACGAATAATTAACTGAGATTTATGTGCATTGAATTTGTGCACCAGTCTTCAATTATTGGCATTAAGTCTTGGAGCTTTCGGGTCACAGGGTTTGCGCTTGCTGATTTGACTGTCAAAGCAGTATTATCATCATAACAGCCTATAAAATAATTTAAATCCATCACGTGGAAGAGGTAAAGGATAGGACCCAAGTGTATAAAACCGCTATTAACCTAAAGTTGATTTTTGTGTACTTTCATATTTGGCACTGGTGATGATTCTTTCAATTGTCAAGATTGGATTGAGTTGTTTGATTTCTGAAAAATGCACTTATTATCCTTTGTGCTAGAATTAAAGTAAGAGATGTCTTCATGGAACGTGTACGCATATGAAGCTGAAGACATGTAGATGTATAAAGAAATAGTTGCAGTCATGGAGGATTTTAATATTTACTTATATTCGCTGACAAACATTTTTAATAAATCACTGAATTGGCGCTGAGCGCGCTCATTCTTAAATGAATTTTACATTTTTTAAAAAACATTGCGGTAAGAAAAGCAGCAATGTCAATCTAGCAAGACAGAGAACCACAGAAACGAATGCGGCGTGTTTAAGATGAATGCCCGATTCAGAATGATTTGTTTTTGGTTTAAATTTATTTTTATTGGTTAATTTTTAGTTTCTGAAATTATCACTGGCAGATACGTTTTGCACCTATCTGCATCATGAGTGTTATGCAAGAATCGTATGATAAGGATTAATTTTGAAAGGAGGCAGTTTAAAGAAACTTACTGACAGTATCTTTCTTCGACTGAAAAGGGAAACAGCCAAATTAAAATAGAGTTAAGGGACTACTGAAAATTAAAGTTAGAATTTTTATTTACATATTTTTTATTTTACATATATATATATATGGATGTATCTTTAATAATAATTAGTTTTACGAAATTTTATTACATAATTATATACACATGCATTTATTCAGCTTTGCAAATACTCTTAAAATCTTATTTATATATACTTTTAGGAAAAATGACAAAGTTCACTTGCAGTGCTTCACGGGAACGGAATTTGTAGACTGGTTAATCAAAATTGGACTCGCCAATCATCGAACAGCGGCAGAAAATTATGGACAACGTTTATTCAGGGGTGGAGTTTTGATCAGTGTTGATGGGGCTGTTCAGTTTCATGACAACAGTGCATATTTATACAGCTTGGAAGAAAAAAGTCTAAAATAGGCAACTACCTAGAGGCTGTTGTATTCACCATGTAAATATCATCTGTACATTGCTCTGTATCATACATAAAATAAAAACAAAGCTTATTAAAAAAAAAGTGTTTTATTGCCTCGGTAAGTCATAAAAATTATCAAACAGCATTCTTTTAAATGCCCTCATAAACTCTCATAATTCCTTTAGAGATAATAAATAGCAATAAGGATTTCCAAAAATGGGCACATAAACGAGGTACAATCATTACAATTTATTTGGATTACAAATGGTATTCCAAGAGAGTGCAACTTGTACTTTTATTCCGCATAATACATTTGGCGAATCTTATTTCCATTTATATTATGCTACAGATTGCTGAGCAAAACTAATAATGCAGCCATGGCTTCAAAAAAATATTTTGAATAAGCATGGGGCAAATGTTATTAGGATTGATTTTATTTATACTACTAGCTAATTAACCTTCAAGCATTATTTTTGAATACGACTTTTTTTTTTTTTTTTTTTTTTTGTACAACATCATTATTTAAGCACATGGTTAAGGCTTAATGATATTTACCATGGAGTCTGATTCGACTTCGATATTTTACCTACTTTTTTCTAACTCCAAAGTAATAGATTATCATTTTGGTGTTCTGTTTCCTTTTATAATGTTTATTCATTGTGTATATATATATAAAGAAACATAGTAATAGGTCAAAATTAAGAACAAAAATTCTTTTAACCAGTCCTGCGCTATAGCTACAGGATTGAAGTAAATTCTTGGAATTGCCTTGCTTTGATTCCAATTTACTTTTACTTTAGATCCTTTAATTTACTTTAATCCTACAATTATAGCGCAGGACTGGTTAAAAGAATTTTTGTTTTTAATTTTGACCTATTACTATGTGTTCTTGTACTTACTATCTTTAGCAACTTCCAAGCTATTGTTCCTGTTTCCTTTTAAGGGTTTATTTATTTATTTATTTATTTACTTATTCATTTTTAGATTTCCTTCCAAAAGACTAACTGTAAAGCAAATTAGCTTCCTCTTTACTTTTATACCTGAGATCAGTTAAGGTCAATTGAAATAGGCGAATGTAAAAATTCGCTTTGAAAAACTTGTAAGTTAAATACCACTTCTCTGGTCAATAAAAAACAACAACAAACACTTTGAAAACATTTAATTGTACTTATAAAATCATTTGCAATAAATGTAAGATAAGTTATATTGGACAGACCAAGAACAAAGTTAAAATTAGTATTAATAACCACCGAGCTCACATTAAAAAATTTAAAAGTCTGCCTCATAAGCAACAGAAAGATGCTGATAATAATACAGCGATTCTTGTACATTTCCAATTGCACTATTTCGAATAAATTAATATTTCTCTTTTGGATATTATTCCCAACACCAAAATAAGTCTTTTTAGAGAATCCATTTACATATTACAAAATAAGACAGTTTACCCATGCGGGTTCAATACAGAACGATTTCAAAGCTAAAGAAAATTCAATTTATAGTCAACTTGGAAGATTCTGTGCAAAAACAATTAGAGGAACAAGAGGAGGAGATAGAAATCAAAGAAATTTTTTTACTTTAGATTTTGAAAAATTGATTACAAAAGCTCTTAATTTTTTTCAACAGCATTTTTTCACTAAAAGTATTATCAATTTACTCCTCCCATTCAAACATAAAATCCTTAAGCAATTGCTATATCACTTTCAATTTAAATTTGAAGGCCTCCTATTACTAAAAGACATTATAATAGACTTTTGTAAGTACAAACTACATAGCAACAAATCTTTTGAAAATAAACGTTTTTGTACTATTCACTTCAAGCATCCCGTTTATGACCGATTAAAAATTAATAACATCTTTAAACTACACCAACATCTGTTTACAGACAAAATACAAGCAATACCAAGCTATCGATATGAAAGAACACTAGGTAGCTTAATAATTAACTACCATAAGATCGATACTCCCAGAATGCAGCCCTTATGCCCTTGAAGGCTGAATGTCCCAGAATACAGCCCTTATGCCCTTGAAGGCTGAATGTCCCAGAATACAGCCCTTGAAATTGCACTTCCAGAATTCAGCCCTTATGTAGATCACCAACATATTATAACAGGAAATTTAGAAATTACAGAAGATAGAAATTTCAAGCAATTAATGAATCTTGGCACCAAATTTCGACCCACTTTCAAAGTTAGCAAAAAATTCGGCATCCAACAATTCGAAAAAAAGTATAAAGCTTGCATAGTATTCCCAGCCACAAAACTAACTTACCTACTACTACTTACCTAGAACGGAAAGAGGAAATGTTCAAGGACTTCAAAAGACGTATTAAAGACATGCTAAAAAGCATACATAATAACCAAATTAGACAAGAAAATTAAAATTTTAAAGGATCTTTTCACCATTGCGAAAATAGACAAAAGCCAGTAACAATTTTAGCATTATTTGAAAGACTTTCTACTATAATCTGATTAAAAAAAACTCCATAGCACAGTTACCTATCAAAAAATTAAAACTACGGCGAATTACTGCAAAGACGTTTCACTGCAATTTATCGAAGACTTAAAATCACTACAAATAAATTTTACAACAGGTTTTCCAACTTTTATGCATTTCCTAGATTTCACAAAAGGCTAGTCAAATTTCGATTCATTGCCAAACAAACCAAAAATTATATGAAAGACAGTGACTACGGGTTTACTAAAATACATTAAAAAGCTATCTACTTTATTAAAGATGCACAGAATGCAAGACCACAATTTCAACTGGATAACAAGTAACGACGGACCGATGCTAGAAGTACTTCGCACTTTAAACATTAAAAATATTTTCTGTTACGATTTTTAGAGTTTATACACGGTTCTTCCTTAGTTCTTCCTTCCTTCCTTCTTTGACAGCCTTCTAACTCTACCAGATTTATTTTCACAAATTATTATTGTTATTACCAAAGAAGAATGACAAATGCATCTAAAACGTATTGTTTTTAATAACTACATTGCATTTAGTAAAACGTTTTTTAAACAAATCAAATACATACCGATGGGAACTAGCGCAAGTTCTGCGATTTGTAATTTGTACCTTTACACCAAAGAATTTAATTTCAACAGCAGTTATCTCAAATAAACCGTTCCTATTACGCTAACTGTTACAGACCCATGGATGATATTATTGCAATCAACAACTTCAATAAAATAAAAAACTATCACATTTATCCCTCATGTTTGAAACTCAATAAAACTAACTTGCAACAAGGAGACATTAATTACCTAGATTTGCAAATTATCTATTTTAAGGATATTAAAATTTACGACAAATGAAGAGATTTTGATTTTCCTACTATAAATCTCATTCATTGGCCCTCAAATATCTTACAAAGGGGTAATACTTAATACCATACATATTCAACTCCTTAGAATCAAAAACATTTTCAACAATGTCGAATACTTATAAGAAGAAATCACTAACTTAGTCAAAATTCTCATAAAGAATAAAATCCCTCTTTTCAAAATTTCTATATCATTAAAGAAAGCCAGCATTAACTACCGTATTTACGCGAATCTAATGCGCATCGTTTTTGGCCAAATGTAGTATTCAAAATTGGGGTGCGCACTAGATTCGATGGCGTATTAGATTCGAGTGCAAAGTTCGCCGATGACGTCAACCAAATTTCTCGACTACATTTACCGTTACATTTATCGTTGACACATTATTGCATAGAGGATACAAACTGCAGAGTACAGAGTACGTAGTCACGAAATGGAGGGCAAACAGAGAAGAATGTCATATGACGCTACTTTTAAACGTAAAGTAATTCTTTATGCTGAAAAAAAAAAAAAAAGGCAATAGAAAGGCAGGGAGAGAGTTCAACGTAGCTGAGAGCAATGTTCGCTTGTGGCGGCAACAGAAATTGGCACTGTTTGCAACTAAAGCTAGTAGAAAGAAATTCACTGGCCCTCGCAAAGGAAGACACCCTAAAATTGAAGAAAAAGTTTTGGAATTTGTACGGGAAAGGAGGAAGAATGGACAACCTGTGACTAGTGACACCATAAGAAATAAAGCAAAAGAGGAGGCTGCTGAAGTTCTTGGAATACCGAAACAAGAGTTTAAGGCTAGCCGTGGATGGGTGGATCGGTTTATGAAGCGGATGGGCTTATATCTCTAAGACGCCGTACAACAATATGCCAAAAGCTTCCTGCAGATTTTGAGGGAAAACTACTAACATTTCAGCGGTATGTGTCATCACACTTCGGAAGGAAAAGAATTTTTCAATGGGGCAAATTGGCAACGCTGACGAGACGGCCAATTTGGTTTGATATGCCTCGTAACTACACCATTACGGAGAAGGGGACTAAGGAAGTTATCATCAAAACTTCGGGATGTGAAAAACAACGCGTAACAGTGATGCTGGCAATAACAGCAGACGGGTGCAAACTTCCCCCTTTCTTAATCTTCAAACGGAAAACATGCCCTAAAACCCCTAAGAATGAAAAGCTGTTCTTAGATGATGTCCTGATTCGAAACCAAGAGAAGGGGTGGATGACGGAATCATTAATGCTTGATTGGCTCCGAAATGTATGGAAACGCCGTCCCGGTGGGCTCTCTAATCCACCATCAATGCTTTTCTGGAAACATTTCGTGGTCATCTCACCGACGACGTAAAAAAGAAGATGCACAGCCTAGGCAGTGATCTTGTTATCATTCCTGGAGGGATGACGTCTGTGTTACAACCCCTGGACGTTAGTATAAATAAACCTTTTAAGGGGTACGTTAAGGCGGAGTACGAAAAATGGTTTTGTGAGGCAAACCGTGTATTGACCCCGACAGGAAAAATTAAGCGTGCTGCACCGCACATTGTTGCACACTGGGTTTCTGCTGCCTGGAAAAGCATCGAAGCACCAATGATTGTGAAATCTTTCAAGAAATGCTGCATTGCAAATTCATTGAATGGCAGTGACGATGACGTGCTCTGGAACGCCGAGGATGACGATGACGATGATGAGGAAAGAAGAAATGAATCTGCTTCTGACGAAGAGAGCTGCGAGGATTCCAGTGATGAAAACATTAGTGAATAAAGACTTTACTATTAATCACTGATTGTAGAACTG